GACTATCATGAATACACACATGGGGGCCAAACTGCACAGACAACCTTAATTCTGGCATTTCCAACTTCTGGAGCCTTGGTTTGCAGCCTTAATGTTCTTTTGATGTAGTTTTTTTGTGTGCGTGTCATTATATATTTAGGGCCTGAGCCAGCTCCCATTGGTGGCCACGGAAAGACTCCAGCAGGAGCTGGATCAGGCCCTTAGGGTACATCAACACTGGGTAGACAGACTCGCGCTAGCTCCACTTGATCGAGCATGCTAAAAATAGCAGCATGGCTGTTGCAGCGCGGGCGGGCAGCTGAGATGAGCCGCCCGAGCCCGCGCCTGCCCAACCCACTGACTCTGAGCGTGGGCGGCTAGCCCAAGCCACCGCCCAGGCCCAAATGTGCCCACTCAGCTATTTTTAGCTCACTAGATCGAGCGACGGTAGTGCACATTTGTCGACCCGGGCAGGGAGGCTTGCGCCCAGCTGTAGTGTAAACAGACCCGTAGGTGCCCAACTCTAGGCACCCTAGCTTGAAAACCGGACGAGGCCTGTAACATCCCGTGTTATCGAGACAGCCCTGCAATATCTAGGCACAACAAGAGGTCTTAAGGCAGAGCAGTGCCCAGACTGCTAGGTCTGCCAGCACTTTCCGCTACGACTCAACCGTTTTACCCTCACGGATTTCTGTGTTTTGCTTTCTCTGTGGTTTTGGAGCAGCAACTAAATAACTCCCCTGGCCCGGCAGTGTAACGTTACGGACTCAGCCACCCAGCGCGAGGTCACAAGAACGTGACGGTCGCAACGCCAAGCCCTCCAAGGTTAGGCCATGCCAGCGTTCCGTGTGCGACCCTGGGCAGCAAGAGCACCACGAGCTTGAGGACTAATGGAGGGGGGTGTGCTTCGCTGCAGGGGCTCTCAACCTTTGAGGGCGTGGGAACTATTTGTAAATGCTACTGGCCTGCCGCCACCCAGTACATAGGCCAGGGGGGTGTGAGGGTTGGGTCCTGCCCTTGGGTATGAAGACGCTGGGGGTTTGGGTTCTCTCCCCGGGGGAAGACAGGAGTTGCAGAGTCCATCCCACTCTCTCTGCTGCAGTGGCTCCTGTGGTTCTGGTCCTGAAGGGATGGCTGAGCTCAGCTGTCCAATCCAGGCATTGCAACCTCCAGGGTCTCAGCACTGCATGGGTTTGGCCCCATGCCCTGAATTTGTAGGAGAGACATTGCATCCTGGAGCATGGGGTCGCAGCGCCACTCACTCAGATTTGGCCCGGCCGGCCCCTCTGTCATCATGACAACCCCCGAGCTTGTAGTGATTGGAGCAGGGGCGCTGAGCCCAGCCTGCCACACAGGACCAGAGCTGCAGGAGCCCTCATGTGACTCTTGGAAACATTCTGGTGACCCAATTTGAGGTTGTGACCCACAGTTGAGAAACCCTTCAGCCCCTATCCCCGTCTCTACATCAATCCCTCCAAGCTCCTAGCCCCTCTGCCCCTCCAAAATCCCGTCTTCTTCATCCCCTTCTGCTCCTGCACCTCTCCCCTGAGCTTCTACCCCCGTTCCAACTCTGCTTCTATCCCCAATGCCCCCAGCCCACACTCCAGTTCCCGTCTCTCTCTTTCCCGAGCCCTGCCCCCCCGCTCATATCCACTCCCACCCCTGGCTCCTGCTGCCATTCTGTCCCCACATGTCTGCTCCTATCACTGCTTTCCTAGCTCCCCTCCCAGCTAGACACCTCGTCCTCCTCTTCCCCAGGGCCCCGTATCCAGCAGGGGGCACTGAGAGCCCAGCAGGGCTGTCTCCCTGCTCTCAGTTCCAGTGCCTGGGGCCACAGCCGCCTCCAGCTGCCAGGAGGAGCATTTGTACAGAAAGTCCGGCTCAGCTCCTACATTCCTATGATGGAACACGCTCAGTCATCACACATAGGTGCTGGGAGGGGGATGGAACATGTTCAGTTAGGGTTGCCAACCCTCCAGGATTGCATCTCCAGGAATTAAAAACTAATCTTTCATTAAAGATTGTCATGTGATGAAACCTCCAGGAATACATCCAACCAAAACTAGCAACCCTATACTCAGGGCCAACGGAAGCTTTGAAGAATTTAGCTCTCCAACTATAACAAGCCTTTATGAATTGCAATTCGCAGGGGCTCATAATCTGGGCCAGTTCTGGCAGATTTTCATAGGGATGGCAATTGACACATCCCAGACACCAGCGTGGTTCCCCACCATGTTTCAAGTCCCTGCTGCAAAGCACGGAGTGGCTGGAGCTTCCCAGTGAAATCGCTGTACGCTTTTTTTTTTTTTTTAAATATGGGCAAAACCACATATTTTTCACTAACCTAGTTCTTGGGAAGGGCAGAATTCTTTTCGCTAAAACGTTCCCATAAAAATATCAGCCTGAGGCAGACACCAAGTGTGGGAAAACCTCAGCCCAAATGGTTTGGAAAAGTAACAACGGAACAGAGTCTTATAGTGGAAAATGGTAGGCAACCTTAGCTATAAGCATTGATCCGGTCCCCCAGTTAATGCTTGACACATGTGAAGTAGCAGTTCTGTAGTAGGAAGTTTTGACGTGGCACAATGACAGCTCAAAATTATAGCAGCTCAAAAGCAATCATTGTGATGTGTCCATGTATGCTCCTTTTATCCTACATAATGCGTAATACCCTCTAATATTATGCATCTGTTACTGGGTATTCTTCACACACCAGTTCAACCCCACTGGGCCCAGTTCAGAGCTCACACTGAAGTCAGTGGGAGCAACATCAGTTTAAAATTGTTGAGAGAGGAGACGTGAACTCATTGACTTCAGCCAAGGTCACTCACTTCTGATTTATGTCTTAGGTTCCTAAAAGCTCATGCTTCAAGGTTTCATCTAGCCATCAGCAGGGGTCAGGAAGGGATTTTTCCCCCCTAGTGTATTCTGGGAGGGTTTTTTTTCCTCTCTCCTTCCTCTGAAGGATCGGAGTTGGCCACAGCTGGAGATGGGACCCAAGAGGGGGAAGGCTACGGCTCTCAGGTGGCACTGTGCATTCTTGCTCTCAGGTGCTTAGCTGGTTGGTTCTTGCTCACGTGCTCAGTGTCTAAGTGATCACCATATGTGAGGTCGGGAAGGAATTTTCCCCAGGTCAGATTGGCAGTGACCTTGGAGGTTTTTGCCCTTCCTTTACAGCATGGAGTGTGGGTCACTTGCCAGGATCATCTCACTTAAGCATTTCTCTGCCCCTGCACTGGTGCACCTGAGTCCCTCCTGTTCTCTGCTTGTCTTACCATCTAGTGTCCTGTGAGCGGTCATACTTTGGTCTCATTTCAGCTGTTGGGATGAGTGGGCAGAGGCTGGGTGGTAGTGGTGGCCTGTGAGATACAAGAGGTCAAGCTAGGTGAGCTGGAGGCCTTAAACACTATCCTGATCTATAGCAGGGTGAGTGGAATATCAGGCCTTATACATTGTACCAATGAACAGTAAGAATGTATGACGGGTTGGGACTTTAGCTTCTCTCTTCCTGTGTCTCAAAAGGAGAATACCTCCTAAATAGGTATACAATACATAACGTGAGATTTAAGAACTTCAGAGACGACAGCTATTGTGTCTACAGAGCACTGGCAGAAGAACATTCTTCATCTAGAGATACCATCCTCTCATCTCCATGAAATGGGATCCAATCAAGGGATAAATCTTAGCTAGCCACTCCCACTCCCAATGATATACGGTACTTGCAAATTTTAGGCAATTCAGGTCCTTTAAAATTATTTTAAAGGTGTCCAAAGTCACTAGTTCATACTAAAGAAGCATAACACTGCCTCTGTTGAGACAAAAAAGTACTTAAAATGAAAGTTAACACATGCTACAATGAAAGGCATTTCATGATTTACCTCATCAATGCTCAGACTGAGGTTCGCGAGCTGAAAGTGGCTCATTAATGTGTCACCTGCAGCTCTTTGCAGCACATAATATTAAAACACCAATTTAATTATTAACCAGTCTAAGTAATTAACCAATCAGGATGCCTTTACTATATTATTAACCAATTGTAGTTGATAACACAAGTTGATAACTTGGTCAGTCATTGTGCTGTAAGAATTATATTTTTATATATATATATATATACACACACACACACACTATTTTCCCTCTCATACTGTTTAAATATGAATATATAACACTATAGTAAATGAAAATGAATTCACACTGCTGTGGCTCTTTTGGGTTACGCTGATCGCTAATTTAGCCGTCAATGGCTCAGGAGCCGAGTATCACTCCTTGACATGCTATTTTATCAGTGTTGTGTTCATGGTACCATAGTCAGCACTCAGTTTCAGCACAAAGCCAATGATAAAGACAAAATGCTGAAGTTTCTAATGGAAATGTCAGCTTATCTTTTCCTATGGCTGTCTGAATATGAAGTTGCAATTAACAAATGCCAAATAATTGTTTGGGTGGGTGGTGCAGGCTCTGTGTTATCGATGTAATGACTATGAACAGACCTTAATGATGTCTTGTATATCAAAGTACATCAATTGCCATAATCTGACTAGCTACTGGAATGCATGTCCAGGACTCTGTACTCAGGAATATTAAGAAAATCTGCCATTGCTTGCGTATGACAAAAGCCGACTGCATGACTACAACCTTTGATCCCCCAGAAAACTTCAATAAAGCCAGAGAAATACAGCCCTGGAGAAGAAAATGACAGACGCTTCTTTAACTTCCAAGATCTGACTTAATAAAAAGATAAAACAACTTCTACACCATGGAAGGATGACAAGCTGATTTCAGTGCTTTATGTTATTTTGATTGACTCAAGCCCTGACACAGACCTTATGATTTTTAATGTAAGTAGCTGCAGAAGTAAACTTTCCCCCCACATAGTTTTCTTCTTATCATGGCTGTTTTTTGTGCTAGTTCTGGACGCTCTCCCCGGCCACCACCACACACACACACACACCAATTTGAAATAGCTTTTAGTTTTTGCCATAGCAATCAATCAATCAATCAAAAACTTTCAGTATACTTACTAGCTCTGGTAGGATAAAAGCATATGGCACGGTTCTAAATATTTTTGCTCCAGATGGCATGTCAGGTTCTGTGTGGGTAACAGGTAGAGGGGGATCTTTTGACGCCATCTCTTCTCTGCTTAGACGGGTAGAGGGTCTGCTCCACTATCCTTGGTTATCTGTACAACACCATTGGCATGCACCGCTTAAAGTACTAGCCACTGACACGCCCATCTGGTTGTAATCAGTAAAACCAGTTCCAGCCTGGCAGGTCATTCCACTCCTTGCAGCCAAAAGAATCATCAGTTACTCTTTGGCTAATTAAACAAAGGGCTCAGGTGAGGCAAGTTGTCATAAATATAAAGGGAAGGGTAAACACCTTTAAAATCCCTCCTGGCCAGAGGAAAAACCCTTTCACCTGTAAAAGGTTAAGAAGCTAGGATAACCCTGCTGACACCTGACCAAAATGACCAATGAGGAGACAAGATACTTTCAAGGGGGGGACAAAGGTTCTCTCTGCTGTGTGATGCTTTTTATCAAACCTTCCCCAGGAAAGGGGTGTAGGGTTTGGGAGGATTCTGGGGGGAAAAACGTTTCCAAGCGGGCTCTTTCCCTGTTATATATTTGTTAGACGCTTGGTGGCAGCAATAAAGGTAAAATAGTTTGTACCTTGGGGAAGTTTTAACCTAAGCTGGTAAAAATAAGCTTAGGGGGTTTTTCATGCAGGTCCCCACATCTGTACCCTAGAGTTCAGAGTGGGGAAGGAACCTTGTCAAAAGTACATTCGTTGGAAAGGGAATAAGAGCATGAGTGACAAAGTGGGAATGATTTGTAATATTTTTAGGATTCTGATATGTGCCTCAGTTTCCTCCTACACCTTGCACAGCTACCTGGCAGGGAATGGGAGGATTAACTCTGCTGTCAGGACAAAATACAAGCCATAATGGGTGTGTCACCTAGCTGTCTGGGCCATTAAAGAACATGCTGAAACCAACCCAGATCAACAGAGGATCCAGCAAGACAAAGAGACACCCCAATGACTGAACAATCTACACTGAACAGCAGGAAAACCCAGCAGATGGGACATGTGCACTGAGCTGGAGAACCAATGGGGAAAGTGCTAGGCGATGGGGACAAGGACTGCCCTTTGGAGGGACTCGGGAGCAATCACCTGGGTGGACAAAAGGGACGAGAGAAGGAGCCAGAGAGGGAGACCATCACCTCATGGCACTGGTTTGACCACAATGGACTATGGTGTAACATCTGCCTCTCTGTGCTAACCCAAAGGACTTTCAGACTCTGTAGCCAGGTGACTTATAAACGGTGAACTTGTTTTGCAAAGGCTGCCTGTGTTGCTCTGAACGCTCACTGAGAGAATTATGCCCTGAAGGGGCACAGTACGATATTCGCGCAGGACTCCCACTTGGCTGGATTCACTGCAGGGAGCCACGGAGACAGGAATCCCAGCTGCCAAAGGCCATAGACCAGACCCTGGGACTCCATAACAGCGTGTACTTACACACATATGTATGCACCAGGGCCCCAGGAGTTCGCCTGCAAACCGGCAATGCCATGCAGTGTGTAATCAATGCCTTAATCTTCTCCAAGGTTTTGCTGACTCTTAGAAAAGAATAACAAAAATGAGAGAGGGAAATGTATTAAGAAATCCAGTCCATCACCCTGCCAGGGCAGGAATGTTTCCTACAGTGCGTTATCTGCTAATTCTCAAACCTCCCAAGTTCTGGGTCTTCCACTCCTCCCATTAAGAGATTATTTCACCCAGGTCTTGCCCCTCGGACTACCCTAAATAAGTTCTCACCCTTTGGTATGCCCAATCTGTTAACTCCCCCCACAGCACTGCCCTCTCCCCTGCACGTTACAGTACATCTGCACCACAAATTAAGGTCTGACTGCAGCATGGGTGGGCATAGCCACGCCAGTTTTAATGTAGCTGGCAGAGGTAGCAGTGATAATGAGGACATGGCAGCATGGATATCAGCCCAGACCAGCTGCCCCAGGATAAGCCTGCCAGGGACCCTGAGTACACAGGTTGCTGGCCCATGCCAGGGGCCACACCGCCATGTCTTTACTGCTCTTGTTACCCATGCTAGCAGGATTAAAGCTGGCACAGGTATGCCTACTTGATTTGCAATGCAGGCCTACCCTGGACAGTGCTTACCCAATATGTAAGAGAGACACAAAACCTACATTAAAAAAACATTATTGAGGTTGTATCACGGACTTAAAAGTTAGGAAATGCCAGAGTTAAGGTTGTCTGTGCAACTTTCAAACTCTTGCCTATCTTCTCCAACCTGTCTCTGCCCCACCCCTGGTTCCAGTGCAACCCTTTACCTAGCTAGTCCCAGTATCCATTCTCAAGCTACTCATCTCACCCCCAATGTCCTTGCCTAGCAAACACTAGTCCCACCTCTCTGGAAGTACCGTCTCAGGCTCCTCGCTCCCGGTCCCATGTTCCTTGCCCAGCCAGTATCAATTCCATCCCCCTTCCCCTCTGGCTCCTCATCCAATCTTCTCTCCATTTCCCCCTCCCCCACTTCGGTCCTTCAGTGCCGCCGAACACACCGGGGGTGAAGGACCCGCCGCCGCTTCTTCTGCTGCGGGTCTTTGGTGGCAATTCGGCGGCAGGGGTCCTTCCGCTCCATGTCTTCGGCGAATCCCTTTCTAATCTCCTCCAAACTGCATTCAGGCCCTGTCCCCAGGCTCCTGGCACTGCTTGCCGGCCCCACCTGTTTCCTGGGCACTCCAGACAGGCCTTGTGCCAGCAGGGAGAGCAGAGAGACTGTCTGGTGCCACTTACTACAACAGTTCCTGGTGACCAAATGCGGGACTAGACTCAGAAAAACTCAAGACAATACCAATAACTGATCTTTTCCCAACAAACACATTTAACACCATCTACCAGACTGTCAAGCAAGGAACTTTTCCAGTAAAAGGCTCTATCCAGCGAGAGGGAAAAGAAATAAAAAGTTGTATAAACACTTTTTCTCCTAAGTTTCTAATGCAAGTCTGGGCTTTTCCTTCTTCTTCCAGGAGTTTAATAAAAGATTAAAAGTTGTTAATGGCGGTGGTTACAATAGAAGTAAGTCAGTGATAACTTGACACCAAACCCCAAAACACAGGTATCTGTTTAACATTATAAGAGTATAGAGGTTTTATTTATCCTGTTGAGCCCCTGCTTAGCAACAAAACCAGCACACCTTTTCTGAGTGTCCTAAAGAAAACACTAAAAATATTCTTCTACAGTAGTATCCTGCTGCTCATTACTTGGGAATGCATGATGAACACTTATTTCTCAGCCTGATTGACTTTGCTAAACTAGTTCCCTAAAAAAAGTATTTTATTGCTGTTTTCTTTGTGTACTAATTTACCTGGTCACTTGGGCATTGTGCCTAGATTCCTGCATTTTTCTCATTAAGGAGACGCCCATATTGAAACTGAGACGTCAACACAGCCATTCTAAATGAACTATAGAAAATATTGTTACATCTAAATAGTTGGCTCAACTTTATGGTCCATGCTTCATTAATATTATTTGTTATGGGATAAGAGGGAAGGCCCTCTCATGGATCAGAAACTGGTTAAAAGATAGGAAACAAAGGGTAGGGAAAAAATGGTCGGTTTTCAGAATGGAGAGAGGTAAATAGTGGCATTCCCCAGGGGTCTGTAGTGGGACCAGTCCTATTCCACATATTCATAAGTGATCAGGAAAAAGGGGTAAACAGTGAGGTGGCAAAATTTGCAGATACAAAATTACTCAAGATAGTTAAGTACAAAGTTGCCTGTGAAGAGTTACAAAGGGATCTCTCAAAAGTGAGTGACTGGGCAACAAAATGGCAGATGAAACTGAATGTTGATAAATGCAAAGTAATGCACATTGGAAAACATAATCCCGACTATACATATAAAATGACAGGGACTAAATTAGCTGTTCACACTCAAGAAAGAAATCTTGGAGTCATTGTGGATAGTTCTCTGAAAACATCCACTCAATGTGCAGCAGCAGTCAAAAAAGCGAACAGAATGCTGGGAATCATTAGGAAAGGGATAGATAATAAGACAGAAAATATCCTATTGCCTCTCTATAAATCCATGGTACGCCCACACCTTGAATACTGCATGCAGCTATGGTCGCCCTATCTCAAAAAAGATATATTGGAACTGTAAAAGGTTCAGAAAAAGAGCAACAAAAATAGTCACGGGTATGGAACAGCTTCCATATAAGGAGAGATTAATAAGACTGGGACTTTTCAGCATGGAAAAGAGATGACTAAGGGGGGATATGCTAGAGGTCTATAAAATCATGACTGGTGTGGAGAAAGTAAATGAGGAAGTGTTGTTTACTCCTTCTCATAATACAAGAACTAGGAGTCACCAAATGAAATCAATAGGCAGCAGGTTTAAAATAAACAAAACAAAGTATTTTTTCATACAACACAGTCAACCTGTGGAATTCTTAGCCAGAGGATGTTGTGAAGGCCAAGACTATAACAGGGGCCAAAAAAGAACTAGATAAATTCATGGCACATCGATTCATCAATGGCTATTAGCCAAGACGGGGAGAGATGAAAACCATGCTCTGAAGTGTCCCTAGCCTCTGTTTGCCAGAAGCTGGGAATGGGCAACCGGGGATGGATCACTTGACGATTCCGTGTTCTGTTCATTCCCTCTGAAGCATGTGGCATTGGCCACTGTCGGAAGACAGGGTACTGGGCTAGATGGACCATTGGTCGAACCCAGTATGGCCATTATGTTCTTATTATTTGTATTATTGCACTGCCTAGGACCTCTAGTCATAGACCGGTTTCAGAGGAACAGCCGTGTTAGTCTGTATTCGCAAAAAGAAAAGGAGTACTTGTGGCACCTTAGAGACTAACCAATTTATTTGAGCAAGATCCCAAGTTGCTAGGCATAGAACAAAAAGATTGTCAGCTCTTTGAGGGAGGGATCATCTAAATATAAGTCAAGAGACAACAGACGGATGCAGACAAACCCATATGGGAGTACAAGGAAACAATAAGGCAATATTGGTCTCAGCATGACAGGTTGTGGTCTCAGCACACCAGCAGCCTAGCCGGTTTTTGTAGGCATCGCGGCAAAGGAGAGTTTTAAGGAGGGTTTTTGAAGGAGGATAATGGGTTACTTTTGCTTCACAACACTCAGCTACACAAAACAGGAGGAGCAATGGATTTCACTGATAACGGTACTCATTTGAAAATGAAAACAAAGCTTTTTTGTAAAATCATGTAAATAAGGAGATAAAATACTTGTTATAAACCAGTAGTATATGCTGTGTAAAAAAAAGTTTATGATGTGCAAATATTGTTATGTACAATACAATTTGCTTGCAAAATATGCTTTGGACAAACAATAAATCCAACCCATGTGGTAATATAATCCTCTCTCATTTTGGTAAGATGATTAGTTATGTTTTTAATTTAGTCTTGTACACGCATCAGTGTAAGGGCCTTAAAAGTCCACTCAAACTGAGGCACTGCTCTTCCTTGCTTGCCCTAAGAAGTCGTATGTGATCTCTGAAATATCAAAAGCTTTGTGAACACTTTCTGAGGAGAGCAGAGAGTAGAGTGCACTGTCTTTTTCTTGGTTCCGCTTCAGGAAGTCAGCAATCACTTTCCAGCGCGAGGCTTCAGACTCTTCATCTGCCCACTTATGCTCTGGGAGGAAAGTGGACTGGAGAAGAGGGAAGACACAGTCATGGTACACCAGGAAAAACACAGACTTCAGAAATTCTTGGTCTCTCTAAAAGTAAGAAAATGAAATCGTTCAGAAAGGCCCCCGCAAAAGCCTGTGTGGTTTGAAAGCATTTCTAGTGAGTCATATGTACAAAAATAAAATGAGAAGATATAGTAATTCTGCTGACTGTTATTCCCAGTTCTCAGGAACATCTTTAGATACTTGGTGTTGAGAAACCCACGATGCTTAAAAAATTACTGTCATGTAAATGCCAGCAGTGTTGTTATCATGTACACTGATGTTTAGTGTGCCTAATTTGGTTTATTTTAAAATGTTTAACCCTAACTTTTCTTGCACTATACTTTAATGTACTAAAATACAGTGGGGCCAACAAGTACCAGTTCTATTTCATGACACTCCTGATAAAACTGCCTTGATACAAATGGGCTCCTTTGTGAAAGAAACTTAACTGAAAAAAGGAAATAACATGAAACTGTTAAGCGTAAAGGGAAAAACTGTGTGTGTCCTTTACTGCTCCTTTAAGATCTACCATATAGAGACAGTCTTAAAGCCCCTTTTCTTTTCCCCCAGAAAAATGTTTTTCCTGTTTGTGTTTTTACATTTGAAATACCAGGGATTTCCAGTCTTGTCTTCACTGGTTTTGCTGGAGGGAAGCTTATTTATTATGGGAAAAACTGATGTAATCTTTATACAGTATGTCAAGGACTTGATCCAAATCTCCCATTGACGTCAGTGGCCTTTAGTTCAGGCCCCAACAAAACTACAAGGGGTACCTTTTTATTCTTAGCAGTTCAACTTTAAAAGCATGTGGCCTACAGCCAATAAAACATGTATGTTCAGTGTTATTTGTTTATAAAACAAAATAGTCCGTCATACTACACTGACCAAAAACCACTAGGGGATATTTACATTTATGGACTATGAGGGTTGAAAGCAACCCATGACGATCCTATACTAACACTGAGGCAAGCTGGCTATAATTATAAGCTAACATCACATCCCTTCTTTGTTGCTTTGATACTATACTACAAGTGTGGATGAAAAAGGATGGGAAGAACTGTATTTATAGTACTTAATTCTTCTCAACCCATTTCTGTTAATGACAGAAATCAGTTTAGAAGTAAGTACTATAATCATTTTAGCGACAGAAATTATTCCAGCTAGTTACAGCACTGTAGCGGGGTGGTCACCCCGCTCCTGCCCGGAAGGGGTTAAATGCAGCCCCAGGGGAGGGCTGTGGCTGGGGAAGGCTGAAGGGAGAAGCAGCCTCAGCTGTGGCCACGCCCCAATCAGGGCCTAGCTGGCCCTTATAAGAGGGCAGTGGGCCAGGAGCAAACAGTCTCTCTCTGTCTCTAGAGGGAGAAGGCCTGGCTGCTGGGAAGCTGAATAGAGTACCTGAGGGGAGCAGGGCTGGGGAATATGGCAAGGGAGCTCCCGCCTGGAAAAGCCCCAGGCTGCAGCCTTGTTAAAGGCCAGAAAGGTGCAAGGATGCAGCCCAGGGTAGGCAGAGGCAGCTGGTCCAAACCCCCCTTGCCTGTGATGATTGGCTTTTACTGACTGCAGTCGGCCCCAGTGAAAGGGGGCTAGATGGTGACTGGCAGTAGCCACTGAAGCGAGGTGGGGATAGTGGCTGGGGGTTTCCCTGTGTGGAGAGACCCAGAGAGCGGGTGTAATGCCAGGGGGCAGCGCCCAAGCACAAAGGGCATCGGGTCTGGGAGGGACAGGGGGGCTAGGCGCAGCAAGGCACCAGCCTGCAGAGGGCACTCTGGGTCAAAAGAGCTAATTCCCAGGATGACTGACAGGTGGCGCTGCAAGGGTGAGTCTCGCCCTGTTACAAGCACTGATAGAAATACCTTTGGCTTGGATAAGATTTAATATCGCATAGAGAAAATCTGTTATTACCTTTTCTGATCGCTTTAATGTGCTTTCCTTTTCTGCCCAAGCACTCTAAAATAAAATGCAGAACTTGACATCAGACTGAGTTTGGAAAACTGTGAAGATGCATTTAAGGACATTTTTTGAGCTGCAAAAGACATTTCTTTGACTTGATTCAATCCAGTTCATACTTGGAGTATTGTCCTCGGACATCAAAGAGCAGACGAGGCCACAAAGCAGGATGCAGAGCTTTCTAGCACAAATCTGGGATCTGTCCTCCCTCCACCTATCTTTCTAGTCACTGCCATACATTCTCCAGAACAAGTGTGTTTAGCAGGACAGGACTTGGACTGGAAGGATGAGAGGGAAATGACAGAGAGAAAGAGAGCAGGGGGAGGAGAAAAGTTTTTCCTGGAACTTTTAAGTACCTCTGGGAGACCAGAGAGTGACCCCCCACTCAATACTCTAACATTCTTCTCACCATCTGGGAAATGTCATGGACCCAAAGAGGACAAGGAGGATTCAAGGAATAAATAAAGGTGGTTTCCATGTCCCTTTTGTCAAGAGGGTGCATAATTATGGTCATTTCCAGGAGCAGTGGTAATCTGCAGGGAGTTTTGATGAAGTCAGCTCAGTCTATTCCCAAAATCAATTAGATTTCATTGGGGGAATTTTTGCCAAAATCTATGGTGTTTCAATGGGGAATTTTATAAGAGTTTATTTTTTGTTTAGTTCACATCTGAACTTTGCCTTCCTTATGTTTAAGGAATCTAAATGTGTATTATCATTATTTAAACGAATGACTGCTGGACCAAATTGTATAGAAATCACCAGAAGTTGCCCCTAACTAGTTAGAACCCCATTAAAAATAATCTAAGGTCAATCATTTTTTAAGAAAACAATTCTAACACAGTTTGGGCCTTCTTCAGACTGGGTGACCAAACAGTGTTGTAACATTTAACTTTGGTTCCTTAATTTGGACTGAGGTGAGTGTAGACAAGGAGAAAACCTGAAGACTGCAAATAATTGAATTTATTTAAATTGTCACTATTTAAATGTTTTAAATTTTAAAAAAATTGTAAATTTTTAATTTGCAACCTTATTTTTGAAGAACATCAACCATATGGCTGAACAGTAAATGTTTCTGCTAAGACGATTAGCAATCAACTTGCTTAATACCACTTTGAGATCATCATGGCAGCTCACATCTCAGAGTTACTACTACAGTGTGTCTGCAGACTCAGGAAGACAGCAGTGCATTGGTTTACATCTGCAAGGTTATATTCACAACTACACAGGTTTAATATTTTTTATTGAAACCCTACATTTTACAGATAACATTGGAATGCCAAATACTTTCTGATGCCACAAAAATCTGCATTTTACTTGGTGGGTGTGTCCATTTCTCTGACAGAAGAACACCAGTTGTGTACTGGTTGAATTTAATCCATTAACAAATTGTGAAGAGCAGTAAATATGAAAAAAAGAAAGATGTTAGTAAAATTAAAGTCTGCTTTTAAACTGTACTATTTCAATTCATTTGTTCAGTTCTTTCCTGTTAAATAGTTCACCCTTGCCCCCCTCCCAAAAGAATCCGTCTCCAGACACTATGGGAAAATTTTGAAGTAGTATTTATACATCTTTCTGCTTTGCTTCTGTCACATGTACTTGATTGCCTTCCTTAATTATGATGTAAATGAGTAAAAAAGGAATGTAGGCTCATCGAATCTGCACATGCTTGAAAGAACTGTAGTTTCTCTGTCATTTGCTTTTTCCATTTACTACTTACAAGACAACAAAAAAACCTCACCAAATCACTTGTAATACCTTAAAAGCCTACAAGTGTCATAACAATATACTATGTATTACATACCCTAAGTGCATCCATAAGGTCAGGCTGCTCCATGAGTTTGGGGAAAGTTGCTAAAATAGGATTACTGATTAAATCTGAAATGGAAAACAATTATCTCTATTATGATTAATGAGATTTTAAATAAGATTACAATTACATCCGCACTAAAAATGACTCCGAATTTCAGCATTAAAAATATCATTGCACTTTCTCATGATTTTGAGTAGTACCCCTGAACACAGTAACAAAGAGGAGTCCGGTGGCACTTTAAAGACTAACAGATTGAACACAATGTAAACTATTGTACTGTTCTATTGTATCCACATTTTAAAGGTGAAATACTCAAGGTTTAGTAAATATTAGTAATTGACCATTTTCAAAATGTATCAGGAAAATGAAACACTGAATTCTTTTTATAGAGTTTAATAGGCATTTTAAACTGCCTAATTCACGAGTATTCGTTATTTAAAGAAATATACAAATAACTTTTACATAACTCTGAACAACATCCATCTTGCCTGGTTTTCCCTACACAGAAAAAGGTATAATGAGATCCATTGGTTGGAAGCTGAATCTAGAAAAAATTAGACTAGAAAAAAGAGTTACTTACTTTTCCGTAACCTTTGTTCTTCGACATGTGTTGTACACGTCCATTCCACGGTAGGTGTGTGCGCACCTCATGCACAGTTGACAGGGAACATTTTCCCTCAGTTAGAATGGCTTGAGTGCCCTCTGCCACAGTGCACCACTGCAGAATAAGGGAGACGTGGGCTCGCAGTCTACCTGACCAGTGATTGCAGAACGATCTGTCCAAAACTGGCATCATTCCTGAACTAATGGGAAATGGCATAATGAGCAGCAAAAGCGTGAACTGATGATCAGGTTGCTGCCTGACAAACGTCTTGAACAGGAATTTGCGCTAGGAAGGCCCCTGATGCTGCTTGCGTTCTAATCAAATGAGTCAATACTCTTGGGGGTGTTGTGACATTAGCTGACTGGCAGCACAACCGAATGCAAAAGGAAATCCATCAGGAAATCTTCGGAGTGGAAACCGATTTGCCGTTTGCCCTGTCTGCAGTTGCAACAAATAACTGAGGACCAAAATGGTCCGGTGTGGTTGAAGTAGAAAGCCAATGCTTTTCTCATGTCCAAAAAATGAAGCTTTTGCTCATCTGTGTGCATATAAGGCTTTTGGAAGAACATTGGCAAATACATTTCCTGGTTCATGTGGAAATTGGAAACCACGTTTGTCAAGAATTTTGGATGAGGACATAGGTAAACTCTGTTCTTATGGGCAACTGTGTACAAAAGTCCTGAGACCAAGGCTCTCAGTTTGCCCACTCCCCTTGTGAGGTTATTGGAACCAAAAACACCACTTTCATAGAGAAGTGGAGTAGGAAGTATGCCACAACAGCTTCAAAGGGAGGCCCCATTAACTTTGTTAGCATGAGGTTGGGATCCCATGGCAGAACAGGTTGTTGAACCAGAGGGCATAATCTGTGCAGCCCTTTTAGAAATATGATAGTTATGGGGCTGGAAAAAAACAACAGTCTATTCCCAGTGGAGGGTGGAATGCTGAAATAGCTGCCAAATGTACTTTAATAGAACTAACCAATAGGCCTTGATGTTTTCGGTGCAACAGATAATCCACAATGTGGTTAATGGAAACCTGCCTTGGAGACCTCTGCTGAAACCAGACAGTTTCCATTTGGCCAGATAAATACACCTAGTTGAAGGCTTTCTGCTCTTCAGAAGCACCTCCTGAATGTTTTTCGGTCGAGTCACTTCTAGTTAGCCATGAAGCATCCATGCCATCAAGTGGAGGGCCTGTAGGTTGGGATGGAGAAGGCAGCTGTGGTCCTGAGAAATCGCATCAGAATCTAATGAGAGAGGTGAAAGAGGCCTCACCAACAATGCTAGCAAGGCCATGCTGGTGCTATTAGAATGAGGCAAGCATGATCCTGCCTGGCCTTGAATAGAACTCCGGATAGTAATGGTTTTGGAGGACAGGCATACAGCAGGGAGTTTCTCCATGATAGCTGGAAAGTGTCCATCAAAGATGCAGGGCTGTGACCCCCCTTGGGAGCAGAACTGATGGCATTTTCTGTTGGTCTTTGTTGTAAACAGGTCCACTTGGGGAATTCCCACAGCTGGAAGATGGGCCTGGCTGTGTCTGGCTCGTAGTGAGCGGAGAAAGATCTGCGTAGGTGATCTGCCAGTGTGTTCTACTCTCTCAGGTTGTAAATCACTTTGAGGTAACGGAACTGGTTATGCAGATCTCCCAGAGCAGAACTGCCCCCGATACAGTTGGGACGAACGCACCCCTCACTGTCTGTTTACGTAAAACATAGGTGCTGTATTGTCCATTAACACTAACACACTTTCCCCCAGAATACTTGGGCGAAAGGCTGAACGGGCTACACAGATAGCACGTAGTTCCCTGATGTTTATATCAGCCCTCGGCTCCTGTGAGGACCATAGCCCTTGGGTTTGTAGGGTTCCAATATGTGCCACCCAACCCAGGGGGGGGGCATCTGTGATCAGTGTGAGCGCCGGCTGCAGAAAAACGAAGGGGGTTCCCACGCTAACATTCTGAGGGCCTGTCCAGGGAGGACAAAACTACCTCTGGAATGTGAATTGCTTTGTCTAAACGATGTCAACAGGGCATACATTGACGCTAGCCATCCTTGAGGCCTCCTGAGGTGAAGGCTGGCATGCTGTACCACATACGTACATGCTGCCATGTGCCCCAGAAGTCTGAGGAAAGTGCTCACTGTGGTAATGGGATGCACTTTTCGATGCAATAATAGGTTTTGGAGAGTTTGGAACCTTTACTGGGGCACAAACGCTCTGGCTTGTGTAGCATCCAGTAGTGTTCTGATAAACTCTATTCTTTGCACAGGTTCTAGAATTGATTTGTCCTGAGTAATACCTCCAGTGCATTGAAGGTCGACTGAATGATTGCCATTTGGGACAGAACTTGAGATCGGGACCTGCCCCTTACTGGCCAGTCTCCCAGGTAGGAAAAGACATGGATTCCCAATCTCCTTTGATATATAGCTACCGGCACCAAGCATTTAATGAAAGATATTACTTCACCATCTTATCTCTCTAATATCCTGGGATCAACACAGCTACAACTACACTGCATAAAGCAGTTCTTGGTGAGCCTTGTAATCCTCTGGCAGGGGAGAATCGCTCACCATCTCTACAGCCTCACCTCTTGATGAGGATGCTGAGGCAATGGCTGACCTGCCTCTGCTGGAGGAGAAGCTGTCTGAGCAACTTCCAGCTGCCTGATACTGGGCATGGGGGAACATTGTGTGCAGTGCCAATGACCTCTGTGTACCCTCGAAGAAGCCAACTGTGATGGATGAGGAGAGGTCCTAGCAGGGGGAGAGACACCTCATGGCATCCAGAACAGCCACTGATGTGGTGGTGGGCCCCATAGCTGTGCTGGCCATTGCCCCTTACAGGGACTGTTGAGACATTCATGGACCCTACAGCTCAGATGGAGGAAAAGCTTCCTGTCTGGTATGGGACACGAAAGATCCCATTTCAGAATCTGATGAAGATGACTGAGTGCCGTGACAATGGTGGAGCTGAATCCATGTGGACCAGGGATATTAACAGTGGCTTTCCCCTGGAAGATACCAGCCTCCTAGGCACTGGAACCCCATGTTTCTGCAGGGCTGGTGCAGGGATCTCAGTTGCTGATAGCAGCTGAAACCCTTCTTGCGTTACTAGGGACACTGGAGCCTAGAGAAGGTGTCTAGATCTCTGGCGGCAGCATAGGCTTCCGGTGTCGTCAGTACTGGAACTGGATCCTGGGTCTGATTAACAGAAATTTCAGGGGTTGGCTTTGACGGACCTGACATAGGTTCCAGAGTCAACTAGCCCCCCTTTGCAAGAGAGGAGCACTCTGGGGAATGCTTTCCCTCAGAGTCCCTGGCAGGGGCCTTGCTTTTAGTGGGCCTTGGTACCAAAAGTTTTGCTGAGCAAGGTACCATGTCTTTGGCAGCTCTGTGTCTCTCCTTTGGTACCAGAGACACTGAACGTGGAGCTGAAGACATCTCAGGAGGCACACTAGCCAGGGCATTGGAGCTCTTCTTCGGCTCTGCTCCAGCTCCAGGCAAAAACCTGCAGCTCCTCTGCTCTGGAGCTGCTCCACGCTCCAGCCCCGGGCTCCGCTCCAAAGCCCTGGCACTAAGTATTGATGCCCCTCTCAGAGAATGCTCTGAACATGACAGCTCCAATGGAGGACCAAGTGCTGTCTTCATAAGGAGACACTTAAGCCTCACTGCTGTATTCTTTTTTGAGCACAGCTTAAACCCTCTACAAGCGTAACACTTGTCACTGGCCTAGGCCTCCCCCAGCTGGGATGTGGATTACTGACCGGCATCAGTCTGGCACAGGGCCAGCAGGACTTAAACGCTGGGGAGCAAGGCATGACTCTGGTCCTGAAAACCAAATCTGGTCCAAAACGGACCTAGCAGCTAAAAGCCTACCACTAACTGAATACTAAATAAACTCACTACTAAGCATTAAATGAGAAACAGACTATAAACAAAGAGTGAGCGAGATAAACTTGTGCAAGAGTGGAAGCACTCCTACAGTCACTGACGATAGAAAGAACTGAGGGATGGCTCTGCCCTCTTATATTGGCACACGGTGGCGTGTGGTGACAGAGGGAATTCAACCCACCCCAACAGGTACTACTGAGGGAAAAAGTTCTCTGATAACTGTGCACAAGGCACACACACCTATAGTGGAATGGACATGTGCAATCACTCAAAGAAGAAGAAGGCAGAAACTTTTAACAGTAAGGGTAACTGACCACTGGAACAACTTATTAAAGATGTGGAGGATTCTCCATCACTTGGAGTCTCTAAATAAAGAGACCGTGTCTTTCCAAAAGACATGCTATAGCTCAAACTGAAGTTATTAGTTATTGCAGGAATCACTGTGTGAGATTCTCTGGGCTGTTAAGCAGGAGGTCACATTCAATGATCACAACGGTCCCTTCTGGCCTTAAACTCATTTAGTAGATTATTGGTTTTTTATCTTCAGAGTCTAATTTAATAAAATAATAATGAGAGGTTATATATGCTAAAAATTAAAGAAAGGGTCTTATTTTAAGATGTGCTGAGTATCCACAATACAGATTACCTCTCGGGAAGCCATGATGGGAATTATGACTTTGAGCACCTTTGAAAATTAAATGTATTTGGGTATCTAAATATGAACTAGAAATGTTGGCTTCATTTTATTGGTAAGAGCACTACAGAAGTCCTTACGCTGGGAGTAGCCTGTACATTATTTAGAAAGTCTAGGGGGGAGATAGAGAAGAAAGCCTCATTCTAAAGTATGAATAAATATCAACCTACTACACCATGGTTAACACTCGTAATGTATTACATTGTGGCTTTTTTAAATAGTCACAATTAGAGAACACAGTAAAATTGTTATACTTTTACTGAAAGGAATGTGTCTGAACCTGTATCTATTAAGATTCATTGATTTTATTCTTTCTGCTGTCAGACATAGGTTTTAAGAGCTCCTCTACTCCTCTCCTACGTACCCTCATGATTAGGGAAACATGAGAAGAATTATTAACCATAATGATAGAACCACTCTCCAGTTTGCTTGCAGATATCATGAGAATATACACATCAAAAATAAACAAGTTAGGTTTGGATCCTGACAGTTAAAGGCCCTTGTAAACACTTTCAAGAGTGAAAAAAGCCCTCCTTTAGGGACATTCCCTGTCATGCTGTACACTGCAGAAATGCATACTCAGCATTGTTAAAGGATTGCAGCAGAATTTGGAGATAACCTGGAAACATAGGAAATGCAACACTGTGATTCTGAGTGATGAGGAATTCCTAACTCCTCAGTGAATGTTTGGTGAATAAGGACCACAAGTGTTGCAACAAATACTTTTTTCAAAATAATTTTTTACAGTAGACTTTTACACTTCACTGAAAAAACTATGCTTGCAACGTTTGCATTCCACTGCGAGAACTTAAGTCAAATATGACAACTCATTTGATGCAAGTTAAAATATTACTAGCCTGAAATACAAATACAAATAAACTTTAAAAAAAGACTCTTGAGTAGAAACAAGGGACTCTAAAAATGGCTGAAGGAGAAGAAAACAGGAGTACTTGTGGCACCTGTTCTTTTTGTGGATACAGACTAACACGGCTGCTACTCTGAAACCTGAAGGAGAAGAGGTTTCATTCAGTTTCCTCTGGAAACTGCAAATGAAGTTCCTCCAGACTGAATGGTTATAGAATGTCTATACAACTCTAGATACGGTGTGCTACTTTCATTCATACTTCTTAAAATTGGAACATGTAGGTTAAACAGCATAAGACGGCAGGAAACATAAGGCAGTTAACACAATGGGCCCCAGATCTTTCTTAAACTGGAGTTAATGAAATATAATTACATTACAAAAACAACACACTGCCATCCTAATTGGCTGAGATCTATTACATTGTGCAAATCTTTAAACTTCTTTTTAGAAAAGTAAAATATATACAAACTTGGGTGCATGTAATATACTATATTCTGCTAGGCCTAACTTCTAGTAATTCTGCAAACATTCTCTTCCTGAAAAAGTGACCAGAAGCAGAGAGTACCAACACTACCTTTTCCCATCTGACTCTTTTTCACTAGAACAACAATTCTTACCAGCACTTTGCATGCTTATTCTGTCCTTCAGGAGCACATCACTGAGAATTTGTCGATAAAATATCAAGAGATGAATGTAGCACATACTGCCAATTAACGTTTCTGGTAGCAGACTGTTAGAAAGAGAAATAAAAAGTTATAGATTTGTTTTCAAAACAACTCATGCAATGCATTCCCATAAGCTGGAAAACATATTACAGCCATATCAATGTATGTGAATACACATATATTATATGAAGTTACAGATTCACAAAGCCATCACTATGACCATGTGTTTTATACATAGACTGTGAGAAGCAGTTCAGTGCCACCAATAAATGACTCAGACTGTTTAGAATCAGGAAAAAATTGAAAGCTAGTCAAAAGTATTGTGAGTTTGATTGTGTAAATGGAAGAACAGTCATTAAAATGCACATCTAATTTCAGATTTTTCCCAGGCAGCAACATATTTAAACCCTACCCAGGAGACACTTTGGAGAGACTAAATTGTTCTTTAAAGGGTCTGATTCTTCTTCCAATGAAGTCCATGGCAAAACACCCATTGACTACAAAGGGGGAGGATCAAGCCATAATTGCCAAATTAGTTTATATAGCAACTGCTGCAGTATTGTCCGTCTAAATTCAGATCCCACTCTTAAAGAAGCTTACTCTCCAATACAAAGTATAAATTATGTATGAATCTTGAAATAGTAACCATGTACATTCTAAGGGCCAAAAGAGTTCTCCAAATGCCTATGTTTAATTCACACACATGCCATATGCTGACCTTCACCAAAGCACCAAAAAATATTCTCTTGACTTCCAAAGTCTAGGCCAGATGTTCAGTTGGGGTAAATGCCTTGGCTCCTCTAGCTTCAACCCGATATAAACCCAAAGACTTGTATCAAGTTTGAATCCTTAAGTGCCTTCAGTTTCACACATTTTTTTTTTTTTGCTAAAGAACTCTAGTCCCTCAAAGAGGACACCCCAACTCTGTACATCCAGAGGCAAAGCTGAATGTGAAGCCAATTGTTCTCTATATCACAGTGATGCCACCAAGTAAGCCACAGTATCTGCTGTTTTATAGGAGAGCGTGTTTGGCCACTTTCTTCCATTAATGCCACTCCCATTTTTTAGATTCCTCCACTGAAGCTGTTCTAGGGAAGGACATCTTGTCTTGAGAGAAAAATCACAGTGGGCCAATAATATGTGATAAGTCACTATCAACATTTGTAGTGTTGCTAAGGAAATGAATCTTAAGGGAGCTAACTTCCTTGCTTTCTCATCCTTTGCCGTGGTCTTGTGAGTTCTTCCTGATCCTGCTTCCATTAGCAGGAGACTCCGCCAATGATCATCATGTAACCCTGTACCACACATTCAGTTCTTTGAGGGGAACATACATAGCCTCAGTGGTCACTGTTTTCTACAGAGGTTACACTTCTGGGGTAAGCACTCTCTCCACTAGGGGACCTATAAAGAGGAAGGATGCTCTTGTACTTAAGGCAGTGGACAAGGACTCGAGAGGCTGGCTTCAGTTTCCAGTTCCAGCAGTTTTCCTGTGTGACCTCAGGGAAGTCACTCAATCTGCCTGATAACAACACTTCCCCAACTCATGAATTGTATGGTTTGATTAACATTTGTGGAATATGTGTTTATACTATGGTAACTGAGGCTATGTAAGTACATAGAGAGCTTTCTAAAAAAAAAACACAGACAAAACTTGGTGATCAACTTTTGCAAGTTATGCATTAAATTAGAATTGATCCACTGACCCAAAGTATCATGGACAGATCTTCACTTTATTTTTCCATACGTAGAACACTTACTTCAGGATGTCTTTTGATCGTGTGCTTAATGATCTCAGTTTCACTAGAAGTTGAGGCTGTTTCTTTAGTGTTATCATCTGATGGAAAACACCACTGCTTGCTTAAGACATAAACAGTTGAAATAAACATCAAAAATTAAATCAGATGTTTTGAAGCTAGAGTATTATAAAATGAAAAGGAACATTTAAATATGCTCATGGCAAAGTGAAGCTAAGTTTCCAAGTCCACTTTTCAAGCATGAAAAGGAAACTTCCTTTCTGATATTGAACCAAGAAAAAAAATCATTTAAAATTAGCAAATTCTTAAGTCAACATCTCATAACCTCATGATCTAGGCAGCAAGTACCAAAGAACTTTTTTCTGATTTGTTTTAAATAATGTGTAGCCTTGGGTGCATCTTATGCTTGAGAGATGCATAGCAAAGTCAGTGCTTATCTATGAAGGGAAGCTTGGCACCAGTGTATGATTTTTCAGTAAAAGTAGAGACATATGCTCTTTCAGCCTGTTGATCCGACCCTTGAAACAATGGTAAGAAGGGGAGGGGCAAATGAGACAGAACAAAGAGAGAGAAGAGCAGGTCATTTGTTTGGAGGGAGTTGGGAGAGGCCAAGGTTGTCCACGGCCTACAACAACAAGCACCTCTGGCAAATAGGTTTATCACAGTGAAGGAGGAACACTGGGGGCACCCCCTAGTTAAAATATAGACAGTGCATCATTTGAACCCACTTACGGTGAAATTTAATTTACCGCAATGGAGGATATGCACACACACGCTACATATACCATAACAAGTAACTTATTTAAGGCTGCTAAGTGCAATTCAAGAAACAATACACTATTGTATGCATCCATTTTAAAACAAAAAACAAAAAAACAAAAACTCAACTATTAAAAATCATGAAACTCTTCAGACAAAGTAAGAGTAACATTGGCTGGTGTCATAATTGTTTAGGTCAACGTTAAGATCAAATTCACTCAGACACATAAACAGAAGAATGCTCCTAGCCAGCACTCAAACAACCTCTCTCCGCCCCTTCATTTGTGATACTATTTAAAGGGATAATTTAATGGAAGCTGGGTTGTGCCCTCCACTGCTAAGGTCTATTTAAGATAATCAGGGCATGGATAGCTTATTTGGAAGGATATGTTATAAAAGAAAAAGTTTGCCATTTGTCTGAGGTAACCTCATTCTGATGTGAGTTGAAGCCAAGTCTGAATAATGTAGGTTATTACAAAAAAGTGGCAATAAAAACTATCATCATCCTGCCACATATTTGTTTTATTACAAGTCTCTTCCTGCTTATCTCCCTTTGAAGGACATAATTGTAGATACTATAGATAATGGTGATAATACATTGTCATGAATGACTATCAGTAACAAGTTTAGAAAAAAGTCAATTTCCTCATTGTTTGTAAAATAAAGCTGTTTATGAGCTCATGCCTGCTCTTTTTCCTCTCCCTGCAATTTGCCAAGGGAATCTGAATGTCGAGCATTGTTACACACTACACTCAGAACCTCAGAGGATATATAAGCGTGCAAAGGTGCAAAATACAGTACCCAATTGTTATGTGTCATTTCATTTATGTAATGTACATGTGAAACTGTACCTCTTCTTGATATTGATGGGTCCACCTCAATACCTCTCTCATAGGGTGTGCCACCATTCAAAAGAAGCTCATATGTCCTGTAAATAAATAGTAATATACTTTAATAAACATAACCAGGGGGAAATGAAAACAACAGCATCACTTTTCTCTGAAAATAAAGCAAAGATCTCTCTTATTTTTAAAGAAAAGAGATCCAGTTTTTATTATTAATATTTTAATGGGAGCTGATTTTGCTTAATCACTCACAACAGCTGAAACTCAAGAAGCAAACCTGAAGCTTCTCTTTTACAGTAACAAATTAGCCACATTTCAAAATAAATATTAGCAATAATTCTCTTAAATGCAACTCCAACAGTGTGGTTTAAAATGAAATTAACAAAAAATTCATCATGTTTTCCTTCCCAAAAACCTATATATCTGCAGTCTGAACAAAGGTCTCGTCTCACTCACACATTCACAAATCGCAGTCTTCGTCTTGTGTCAATTGTATTTGTTCATTCAAACAGCAACCAAAAGGTATTTATAAAAATACACTTTAATAATGTGAAACTGATTGTGTTGACACTGCTCAATCATTCAGAGATGACATTTCTAATGGACAATTCTAGACTCAACTTTCTGACATTTCTCACGTTTCAATAAATTTGGTAACTTAACAGGCTCAAGATTTCTGCTCACTTACTTCTACTACTACTTGAGAAATTTTAAAATTTGTATAACTTAAGTTAGGCTCCTAACTCCACAGTGACTTTGGTGCCTAAAGTGAATCTCCTGAAACCATATTTAATTTAGGCATCTAAATATTAATTCATGAATCAAACTTTAGCCATCAAAGCTTTAAAGTTTTCAGCCTGAAGATAAACATGTAGTTTCAAAATTCTAGACTCTGTATTTACATCACTGTATTAGCAGCAGGGCAGGACATGAGTCTTATGGAAGGATCACCAACAGAGAAAAGAAAGAGAAGAAAACTGTTTTCTCTTGTGCTGTATGCTTTTTATTGTTAAAAGGATTATTGACAGAGCAGACACTAGATTTCTTTTTTATTCTTCAAAGCTCATTTCATCTTCTACCCTATTTTACTCCATTTGTCAAAGCAGATATAACATTTATGGGAGACAGAGCAAACAATGCAATCAGCCAATAAAACATTCATTATGCACAGGAGGAAACTGCACATGTACAAGCAAGATTTTTTTTAAATGGTTTGGACCATTTTAGATTTGAGTCAGGCTAGACTGAGCCATATTTCAAACAGCTCAGTGTATGTCACTATACTTTATACACCCATTTAGCAAGTGTGATATCTCAGAAGCTGCTGACAGAGTGGATACGTAACAAATGACCCCAAGTTTCAGTTCTAATCCCATTCCATTCAGTTATTCCACTGTTGGGTCTTTTGGCATAATTTGACTCAACCTAGAAGAACATGTGGCTAGAAAGGCATGCTCTACAGGACACTTGCTTGGGATGAGCCCACAGAGTATAAAACCAAAAGAACGTCAGTGTCTGAAAGTGCTGTTAAATTTGATTAGTCAGTTTTGTCTTGCTTGGCCTTTTTTATTGAAGTACTGAAAGAAACAAACTGTATGTTTACAGCTGTGAATGCTGGGCAACAATATTCATACTGCAGTAAAACCCCAACTCAAAATGACTTCACATCTCACCTATCGTTTTAGGGTTGATATCATTTTGGAAGGAGAAGAAAGGAATGTGCACCTATATGAGAGAAGGACAGAAAGTGCAGGTGTTGATAATGCAACCCAGAGGTGTGTCTGTTTGCACAGTTTTGCTCTTAGAAACTGCTAGTTATTGCATACTTATTGCTAACATTTCAAATCGATATAATTTATTGTCTTTGTAAGGAGGACTAGCCATGGCATTGGAGTGCAGTGAGGTTATAAAACCAATACTTAAACTATCCTGAGAAGCAGTGATTCCGAAAAGGATTTGGGAGTCATGGTGGATAATCAGCTGTACATGAGCTCCTGGTGCGATGCTGGGGCCAAAGGGATAATGCCATCCTGGGATACATAAACAGGGGATTCTTAAGTAGAAGTAGAGAGGTTGTTTTACCTCTGTATTTGGCCCTGGTGTGACCACTGCTGGAATACGGTGCCCAGTTCTGGTGCCCACAGTTCAATAATGATGTTGATAAACTGGAGAGGGCTCAGAAAAGTGCCACAAGAATGATTAGATTAGAAAAAATGCCTTATAGAGTCCTAGATCGTAAGGCCAGAAGGGACTTCCTTTATATCACAGACCTCTAATCTGACCTCCAGTATATCACAGCCCACTAAACACCACCCGCACACTAAACCCAACAACTGAAATTAGACCAAAGTATTACAGCCCACAGGAGACTAGACCACTATGTGCCACAGGCAGAGAATAGGAGGGACCACAGCCACCGCAATGGCACGAAAATGATTAAATTAGATAAATGTAGATAATCCTGGCATATGACCCACACCAACACTCTGCAGAGGAAGGCGATAAAACTCCAAGGTCACTGCCAATCTGACCTGGGGGAAAATTTCTTCCTGACTGTAAGGATCCACAGACTAGAACCTAGGTCTGCAGAGCCTGAGATCACTAACATGCCCACAGTGCTACTGGGAGGCCATGTAGAGCCCTAACCAGGGAGCATGGGGAGTAGGAGCCACAGGAAGTACTGCCCAAGGGACCCAGAGTGACAATACTCTGCAGCCCTCTGACTGGCCAATTGCACTATTTAACCCTGGAGGGTGCCCCAGGAAGCTGTCTGGGCAACCCACCCAGACTTCTGGCCTGCTGCAACTCCAGATCTCACCTCATCTCCTGATCTCCAGTCTCTGACCCCAGCTCAACATTGACCCTGACTCTTGCCTCCTGACCCCAGCTGGTGCTATCTCTGATCTCCAGTCTCCAACGCCAGACTGACTCTGACCCCAACTCCTGCTTATGGAACCCAGCCTTAGCGATTCCCCAACCCCTGCTCACCTACTACATTCCTTGATGTGTGAATCCCAGCTCATCTGTGACTGCTGAGCCTGATTGCCTATGCCCTGGTCCCCTACGCTAACCCCACTTATGGTGATCAGTTAGCCCCAGAGCACGTGACCAAGAACCAGCCAGCCAAGCATTGAGAGAGAGAGAGAGAGAAGTGCTTCGTGCCACCTCAGAGCCATGGCACACCCTGTCCAGTGTTCCATCTCCAGCTGTGGCCATCTCTGATCCTTCATAGGAAGGAGACCAAAAAAACCCAGAATACATGGGGGGGGGGGGGGCGTGCAGGGGGGGATAATCCCTTCTTGACCCCTACAGGTGGCTGTCTGAAGCCCTGAAGCATAAGCTTTTGGAATATTAGACATAAACCTGTAAACAAAAGACAATGATAGGAGCTCAATCTATTCAGTTTAACAAAGAGAATGTTAATGAGTGACTTGATCACAATTTATAAGTACCTGCATGGGGAACAAAAATTTAATAATGGTCTTTTCAGTCCAGCAGACAAAGATTTAACAAGATCCAAAGGCTGGAAATTGAAGCTAGACAAACTCAGACTGGAAACAAGGTGCAGAATTTTAACAGTGAGGTTAATTAACCATTGGTACGACTTACCAAGAGTTGTGTGGATTTGCCATCACTGACCATTTTTAAATCAAGACTGGATATTTTTCTAAAACATATTCTCTAGTTCTAACAGGAATTAATCCAGGGCAGTTCTATGGACTAGATGATCAGAGTGGTCCCTTCTGGCCTTATAGACTATGGATCTATGAAAAAGTTAAAGTGACTAAATTGATTTTCACTGTCTAGGCCAAGAGAAATGCAAAAATATAAACTGAGTGTCAAGGGGATTAATAAATTGGATTTTTAATTTTTTCCCACTTAACCTAATATCTCTGTAGTAATCTAGATAAAAAAACAATCATTCCGTAAACAAAGATTTGCAAAATACACTTGCATTTGCGAATACAGACTAACACGGCTGTTACTCTGAAATCTGATTCCAGTTTTTGGATACTTAATTTTGAGCCTTTGAAGGGTGGGATAATTAGTACAAAACTATTCTGATTAGAAGTTCCAGCATCACCTGAATATTAGAATCCCAAATCTGATTAATTTTTCTGCAATTAAATACATATGCCCTTATACATACAGTTAATACATGTGAAATTCCAGCTCTACTGCTAACTGCAACAAGAATTTTTACATCAAAAATGCAAGCAAAAGTATGAGTTTAAAAAAGAATCTTCATACTCTGAGAGAAAATACAGCCCACTTACTTGGAAGAAACTGGAATTCCACTGGAGTCGAAGAGTTTTAGAAATGTCCAACCACAGCTTAACTCTCCTCTTTCACCAGTTGACTAGAAAGTAATAGAAGAATAAAACTTCTTATTCAGCCAGCTAAAAATAGAAAACTTAAGAAATGAATGACATTTTGTGGAACCACAGATAAAAGATCTCCCTTAAAAATATACAAGGTTCCAGAACTTTGTAAATATACCTTGAAAATTTCAGGGAATTGAGTATTGATCACAACATTTTTGAGTGTCTTTTGCCCTAACCTTGTGTGTGTTATGTATGTGTTTGCAAGCAACCAAAAAGTTAAATAGAGATTATGGGCCTGATTTTCAAATAAAGGTTGGGCTGGAATTAGACAATTGTACAGCTATTATCACAACATGAAAATATCTGTCCAATTGTGTGTCCAAAGTTACCCTTAGTCTACGGTGAACTTAAAAAAATACAAACAACAAATCCACTCACCCACAGGCCTTTGAAATTACATTACCAGACAAACAACCACCACCACTAGTTAAACTGGAGTTGAGCTTGAGAATTCATAACAGTACTTTAAGAGTGTCAAAACCTTACAAAAATGTTGTAATTATAAAAAACAAGCTTTAGAAAGCCAGGAAATTCAAAGAGAAGATTAATTCTAAAGAAAGCAAGACATTAAAGACTTGCCTACACAGCACCAGCAAAGCACACTGGGTTAACATGACTAGCTTAACACAAGCTAAGTACCTTTTACTGGCAGGGTCTACATGGGGCGGGTAGAGTGCAACACATTACTAAAAAAAGAAAAGGAGTACTTGTGGCACCTTAGAGACTAACCAATTTATTTTAGCATCAGCTTTCATGAGCTACAGCTCACTTCATCGGATGCATACTGTGGAAAATACAGAAGATGTTTGTTTTTATACACACAAATCATGAAAAAATGGGTGTTTATCACTACAAAAGGTTTTCTCTCCTCCCACCCCACTCTCCTGCTGGTAATAGCTTATGTAAAGTGATCACTCTCCTTACAATGTGTATGATAATCAAGGTGGGCCATTTCCAGCACAAATCCAGGGTTTAACAAGAACATCTGAGGAAGGGGAGGGGGGGTGAGGGTTAGAGATAATCAAGGTGGGCCATTTCCTCAGATGTTCTTGTTAAATCCTGGATTTGTGCTGGAAATGACCCACCTTGATTATCATACACATTGTAAGGAGAGTGATCACTTTACATAAGCTATTACCAGCAGGAGAGTGGGGTGGGAGGAGAGAAAACCTTTTGTAGTGATAAACACCCATTTTTTCATGATTTATGTATATAAAAACAAACATCTTCTGTATTTTCCACAGTATGCATCCGATGAAGTGAGCTGTAGCTCACGAAAGCTGATGCTAAAATAAATTGGTTAGTCTCTAAGGTGCCACAAGTACTCCTTTTCTTTTTGCGAATACAGATTAACACGGCTGTTACTCTGAAATAACACATTACTGCACTTCACAAATCTCACTCCTCTGGCATACTTTGCTGCACCATGTGGACAAGCCCTCAATAAGGAAATGCATAGTTGCAAAGCCTCCAAACAACCTCTAATGATACCCTGAGAAAAAAAATTAATTGAGTAAAGCTTATCAATCTATAACAACCATCTTTTATGATATCAGTGACCACAAACACTAGAATATTTTACTTGTAATGGAGGCAGTGTTACTTGGTGGATAGAGCACTGGAGGAGTCCTATTCCCAGCTCCATCACTGGCCTGCTGGGTGACCCTGAGGGAGTCACTTTGCCTCTCTGTGCCTCACTTTCCCCACATGTAAAATGGAGCTAATGATCCCTACCTTCTTTGTAATTTGCTTTGAAATCAACAGATGGAAAGTGCTATACAAGAGCTATGTATTATTAAGACCAATAGGGTGTTTGCACAAACTCTAGCCCTTATACAACCATATTCTAGCCACACATCCTTAATAAAATCCTGACTAGACAAATAGCATAATGAAGGCCATCATTCCCCAGTAGGTCCCTCCAGACCGCCAATGATCGAAAGACACAGAGCTAGTCTATTTATATATACAATTCTCCTAGACCTAGACCATGAGATAATACCGGCTACAGGGGGACGGGGGGGTGGGGAATCATGGTTAATGTAGTGACTCAGCAGAGCAGGACTATATGACCCATGTGGAACTTGTTATATTCTGCCCTGAAACAATGGCAAAAAGTACTGCTAGACAGAGGAACAAGTGATTTTTCAGAGCCAATATTTCATGAACCTTCAGAAATGAAAGCTAAGAATCTCTGCTTTCCAGCAGTGTAATTATTTGTTTTTATATCTCAGAGTTCATGGGAGCTCATGCCTCTGATAACTGGTTCTCTGCACATCACCCTCTAGTCTCAATCCTTATAAGTACCCAATCAGACAGACAGTAACCACTGGAGCTAGAAACCAGTACGTTATACATTTTTGAAAGAGTTTGCAATTTCAGCTTTCAAATTATATAAAAGATTATTCTTGAATGATTTGATTATGAGCTATTAATCATGCCAAAATTGGAAGGCAATGGGGAAAGCAAGATGATAACCAGAATGACAAGAAATTGGTCCTTAATAATCACAATTAATGTCAGATCTTTGGAAGACCAATAAAAATGTTTTCAGGACAGGTAAAACTTTCTGATGACCAGTGATCAGAAAGAGAAAGTGTTCTGATCGCTAAACAAGGATCAAAAACTACCTCTCTATTCCTCCACAGATGGTAGTGGGTGGGGTGAGATGGATATTATACCTTTTCTGTGGAGAAATAGGACTTCAGTTTCCATTGCTGTCAATCTAACATTTGACTAGCACTAAAAATCACTTTAAAAAACTGAGTAAATCCAAGGAAAAATAAAAAACAAAGTTTTCTATTGTACTACAATTATTTGATGTTGAGATTCTGGAAGTAATAATAATAAAACATTCAGTTTTGAAAATGTATCCATCTTTATATGCTTACATTGCGAATATAAGTGATGCCAAGTTCAAATAATATACCAATGTCTGGAGATGAAGAATTGGACCTGATAAAACAGTCACCATCAAGCAAGCTGGGTAAGATGCCTGTTACCTAATAAATTAAAACAAAAATAAGATGTGAGTGTAGATCTTCAAGATTCCAATTTTTAAAAACCTCTGAATACATTGACTCTAGCATCTTCTATAAAAGACTCAATCTCATTATTCATCATTTTCTTTTAACTAAAAAGATTCAATTTAAGGCAAAAATACTGTTCTGTTTTTCCATAAAATGCTGCTAATCTGTAAAAGTAACTCCTTTAGTAATAATCGGCTCTCAAAGCATTTTACAAATAAGAGATGATTTTTCCCACCAAAGAAACACAGCCACCATTGGAGTTAACGTACAGCAGGAATTTGACAGCGTACAGTGATCCTACACAACATCAGCTGAAGGCAGGTTATCAGTCATAAGCTACGATAATGAAAATACAAAGGAAGTTTATTCACAGCAGCATTCTCCTCCTTTCCATTGCTCACAACACATTCTCCTGTTCAAGTTTATACTGAATCCAAGCACAGAGTGCCACCTCATCAGCCCCTCACAGCATTTCCTTGGTACACACATAACTTTATTTGTCCGGATTCGATCTAAACTGACAGATGTTGTCAAATGTCAATTTCAACTTCACACTGAAATCGACAAAAAAAAAAGTTATCCATCGGCAACAGACAGCACAAGCACGGCCTCCCCCCGCGCACCTTGTGCCTGCAAGAATGGCATGTCGCCGACCCTACAGCAACGCAGAGGGCTCTCTGCTGCCTGCTGTCACATGAGTGAATAAGTGAGCAGAGCCGTGACTGCAGAGCTGCATGGCTACAGAGCAGGTGACAATGAATCCCTGCAGATGGAAGGTGTGGGGGAGGCTATGGTCGTGGCCGGCCAGAGCAGAGACCCCCTGGTCAGGACTGGGAAGAGAAGGACAAGCCCTCAGCCATGGGGGAGGCCATCCTGCTGCTGAATGGCTCCTCCCTAACCCCAACACTATCCTCCCTTAATTTTCCACAACTGTAAAAATAAAAATAATTAAAAATTGATAAAAATAATAAAAATCAATATTGTTGAAACCGAAAAAAAAAATGGAATTCTGCCAAGCAGACACCTAACCCAGTCCTGATTAGCTAATAAAACCTTATCAGTTCCACTCTGAGGTGGTGCAGCTGTGGGCCTTACAACATTTACCGTATCTTCGCTATACTGTACTTGTGACCTTGGGTATGTCACTTCATCTGCGTGCATCAGTCTTTCCACAGGTAAAGCAGGAATTACAATGCATACTCACTTTTGTAGGTTTTCACAAAAAGAAAAGGAGGACTTGTGGCACCTTAGAGACTAACCAATTTATTTGAGCATAAGCTTTCGTGAGGTACAGCTCACTTCATCGGATGATCTAAGGTGCCACAAGTACTCCTTTTCTTTTTGCGAATACAGACTAACACGGCTGTTACTCTGAAACCTGTCATTTTGTAGGTTTTGAGATCTATGGGTGGAGACTGCTAGGTATTATCATTAACATCACATACTTCCCCCAAACTGAAAATTTATTGGGTCAGATCTGTTGGCCCAGAGAAATTGGAACAGTCTTGACTTAAGTGAGCCAACAGAGACCCTGTGTTAGGGCCCAATCCTGCAAACACTCCCAAGCAGAGTGCTTTAGGGTTACTGGGTACTAAGTGCTATACTCAATAGCAAGTATTTGCAAGATACATCCCTTCACTCAGAGCTAATGCTTTTGAGGGCTAAATGCCTCAGGCACAGTACAATTAGTCCCATTTTTACCTTTCCAATATATGAAGAAAATGTAAGAAGACTAAAAGTGAGATGAGCCTATTAGCTGACAACATCTAAATACGCTGTATTACAATTAGCAGATACACACACATACTGGCCAAGTCCATTTGCTATGCTATATACCTACCCGTGGAGAGAAGGTCCATGTTTTGGGATTTTTAGGTTGCCATGTAGCTCTAACTGTATGAATGTTACTCAGTACCTAAAATGAGATAGGAAATTATGGTGGGGAAAATATTAAAAACTAGTTTTCTGGAAAATGATGTAGCTCTAAGAAAATACAGTATCATGCAAGGCTAGTCCAGCACTCTGCATTGCAATGCAGGATCAGACCATGTCTGTCCTTCACCCTTCTTAGCTAGGACGTGTTAAGAGCACTGCTGAGGAATCATATTCCCTGAAAGAAGAATCACCAAGCACAGCACAGCCTCTCTAGCAATTTAGCAGCAGCTGCAGAAGGTGCAGTGTGACATTCCCTTGGCCATGAACATACATGATTTGATGTAGGGGGTGAGAATAGTGGGGTGAAACGAATGAGGAGAGTCCTCTGAACTCTGAGGAATCCACAGAGGTTGGTGACAGATTATAAAAGATTTTCAGAATTTTGAAACTCTGGATTATAAGATTTTTATTCATCTGGATTTAAGAAATTAATGTTTTGTCTATAATTTATACAATGGTATAAGTATGCTTGGTGCTTTTTAGACAAACAGAATCAAATTTGTACTGAAAATTTATTTACTAAAATAATGTGAGTTTACATAAAGCTCTTTAAAAAAAAAAGTATATGAAATTGGCCCAGTTACAGTCAGTTTATATATTTCATTTCATATTACTTTTTTAAAGGTGTGTAAACTGCAATTAAGATGAAAGTACAATTGTACTCCAAAAAGTGACTGTAAAAAATAGCACTTACTCAGCAGATCTGTTTCTTGTGCGTAAAAAGCATCATAAATGGGTTAAATGAAATTGGGGATCTAGGGTAAAATTTTCAAAAGAATCTAGGTGACTTAGAAGTTAAGTCCCATTTTCAAAAGTAACTTAGGCATTTAGAAGTCCAAGTCCCCTTGACTTTCAATGAGACTCGGTCTCCTAAATGTTTCAGTCACTTTTAAAAATGGAACTTAACCTCCTCCATCACTTAGGCACTTTTGAAAATGTTACCCATCGTAAGAGGCAGCCCAAATGTGATCATTTTAAATCCATTCAGAAATCCCTTAAATATATCATGTTTTAACCTCACTATTTCTGGAACGTTACGTTTTATTGCATCAGAGCAACTCACCCTGTTACCATCAAAAAGACAGAGTCGAACATGTCTACTGAGAACCTGTATGCTCACTCCTGGAAGAGGAATCATTTTACAACTCCATAAAGTTAAAATGAGTGACACTCGAGTTGGTCTTGGCTGAATCTATGAATCGGACAAAATAATAAAAGAGAGAATTAAATCTACATGGTCCTCCTAAATATAGTAGTGTCTGTGTGTGTGTGTGTAGCACAAGTGGCAACAGCAAAGCTTTTCCACAATATCTCAACCCTTTTGTGGAGAGACCCCTTCTAGGGGACAAGTCAGTCTCCATGCCATTCAGCTCTTGGCCGTTCTGCTCAGACAACAAGTGTGCTAATTAATGTTAAGTGTGATGGTGCTTTTATGAACACAGGTCTACCAGGGTCTGGCTTGAGACTAGCTCTATTTCACCTCCATCAAGTTATCACACAGTATTTTTATAAAAAGCCATCTAACAAGCCCTGGCAAAAAGCACTCTCAAGTTACAGTTAAGGTTGGACACAGGCCACTTATTTGCACAACACAGATTGTTTTTAATAACTACAAACATCTGAAGCTTAACCGCCATGCCACAGTGGGCAGGATACGCCAACTCCACCCCACTCACCCTTCAGTTTTGTCCACAGACCCACGCTTCAGATACAGGCCAAAGTTCAACACTCTTCCATATCCATCCTGAACATGTACCAGGAGTCTGTGTCCTATAATGTACCCTCAGACAAGAGGCTGAGAACATCCTGTCTATCCAACATAAGCTGGAATGGTTGGCACAGATCATCTCTTTGTCTTACGGCAATGACATTGTATTGTAATTCACATCCATAACGTGGAAGATGCAGGTTAATTTAATGTGACAAACAGTAGGTTCTCCCATTGATAACAAGATAAGCAAAGACCCAGGAGGAAGTCTGGCATTTCAATTTTCTGAGCTACTCTCTTCTAAATTCCGGGCTTATACACATTTTTGCCACTACAATATTCAAATGATGTTGCAAAGTTATGTTAGAAAATGAACCAAAATGTCACAGTGAGAAACAACTACTTAACTGAACTGAGGGATTTCACAATGTCAGACAAAAGTTTAAGATCTAACTAAAAGATTAGTTCAGCCTTGTACAGCTGTTTCACCTGGAAGACAGGAAAGCAACAGGTATGCTCAGCTGGAATTGGCTCTGATCTGGGGGCTGACATCACATGTTTCTTTTGATGTTCTGTCTGTCAGCTAGTAGGATGAGATAATATCTACTGCCTGGAATGCCCAGGAGTGACACAGAAGAATGTTAACATTTATCTCACTTCAATATTTACCAATAACATGATATTTGTTTTGTGGGCTCTGGACCTCTTCATCTAAAGGCTCTGGTCATCTATCCTGAAAGTGACAGCGTTCAGAGCTTTATCAACAGAAATTACTTACAGTGTCTTTTTCAGGGTTCCACACTATGTCTTTGAAAGCCAGTTGTGAAGGAGTCAATTCAGGCTGTATGAAGTAACTGGCTTGAAACTGATTCCCTAGAAAAACAACCTTTTAATGTTTTATTATATTGTTTATACTCCCTCACCCATCTCTCCTAATGGCATATATTCAATTTAGTTATAGATTTCATCATCACAAGGAAACATCCATCTATGGAACACAGTGTTTTCTACCCAGACCATCTTATTTCTTAGGACAAAAGGAAATCAAAAAGTACGATTAATAAAAAACATTGCTATCAACATTCTTCAAGTGCCCTCTTAAAGAAATGAAGTCCACAATTAAGCTATGGTTACAGAAATTGTGGCAGGGGAGGGGGAAAAAAGGCTTTTTAGTATTCTTATCCTACACTGCCTACAGGAACTGCTTTGGAGATTTCTCCCCTTCCAGGGGTGAAATCATCAAGGTCACAGGGAGTTTTGCCATTAACTTCAGTGGGGCCAGGATTTCACCCCAGATGAATAAAGAAAGAAACTAAGAAGACTCCTACACACTACTGAGTCATATACAACCAGTATGGGCAACCAATCATGGATAATTTAAAATGAAAGAGACTTTTCTTAACAGACAAGTAATTTGGACCAGAAACTCATCACAGATGATAATGAATCCTGCACTGCAAGAAAATCTTACCTTCTTCTAAGAGCTGGGAGAGAGTTGATGGTCGGAATCCTGCAGGAACAGCTCCCATGGTTGCTAACACATCAATGGTATTATTCTGCTCAAAACATAAGATTAGGTTTTTTTCTAAATTTGCTGCAGTTTTCACTAACCACCAACTAGCTTATGTCCTTATCCTAACTTCCAATCCCAGGGCAGCCAATCACAAAGGAGAACACACAAATCTTGGGATTCAGTCACCTGTTCCCCTAAGTTATCTTAAGAGCTATTTTGGCCTCTCAGCACAAAACATCCTTAGACTGACCTCATGGATGATTACACACAATCTCCCATTTTGCTATACCACACTGACAGAACTTGCTTTGTAGAGAAACAGTGTAGCCACAAATTACACTGACATTACAACATTAAGGTAATATTACAAGAAATATGGTATACCCACCTCTGTGATAGCTTTTCTAACAGCACTCCAGTGAGAATCTGTTCTGCAGGTAGGGTGGGGGATAAAAGGATATAAAGCAAAACAATATGAATGCATTGCCAACATACGGATGCATAATGAACAATTACTATATCTGTAAGACACATGTATCTGTCTCTGAATGGTGGAAGTCTCGCACATCAGGTGGGTGTGCCCATCAACAGGTATCTGGGAAACACATTACTATGTTGCACTCTGTGGAGTGGTTTATGAAGGTAGGGCAGCAGCCACTCTTTGGCTGCATGGGGCCAAAAAACAAAAAGCAAAAAAAAAAACATAGTAAAGAAAGAAATGACTGGAAGTTTAAAGCAAAGTTCAAACTGGAAATCTACACAATAAATACAGCTGCCCCTGTACTGAAAAAGCCATTGCTACAGACCAAGAGAAACATAACTAACAAAGTATTACATTTCAAATAATTTACCACCCACATTAAAAAATAAAGACGACAAGGGGGGGGGTTACATTTCACTTCATTTTCTCCCATGTAATCTCATTTTACCTTTTTTTAATTTCGGTTCTATCTGCTGTTTCATCAACCACCTCTATGTCTTCCTCACTTTCCTCTTCACTTGGCTCTCGGCCAACTCCTTTATTGCATGCCTGTAATTCAGGATTAAAGTTGTCAAGTGTTTTACCTACTTCATAGTTCAGACTTTAAAAACAATATGAGCGCTCATCATGATGTCTCAATAGCTTAGAAGAGGAGCTTAGCTGGTTTTAATGGTCAGTGAACAAAATGACTGACATCTACAGGGTACCAAGAGAACATGATGTTATCCTTGGTTCTGTAGCTAAAGTCAGTCATTTAAAAATTTTTATGGCAGCAAGTTTTTGCCTCTTAAAATAGTAAACAAGAGAGCTCATTTCCAGAGCAAGCCTCCTCAGAGAGGAAAAGGCACCTTAACCTTGAAGTACAAAGTAACCATAGCTACTTGATGTGCTCTGTGATTTGGCCCTGCAAGGGTCTCTCACAAGAGAGAAGAACCAGTGCAATGCAACAAGATACAAAGGATCAGACTTCAGGACAGGACTCAATCTACCCAAGTGGGGTAATTAAATGCAAATTTATGCATCATGTTTTCTCATTAGACATCTACCCAATTTAAGTGCACAAATGCCAGGTATGCACCTAAATAAGTCTCATGGGGCACAAAAACTTTGGTACATAAAGTTAAAAGGAGCTTTTGAAAGTATTCTTTAAGCTCTGAATATGAATTACTCTATAGCACTCCTAGGTATTCACAGCTGCCCTTACATGTCAGACATCATGTTTCAAGGGCTCTGCTTTCATTTACAAAAAATTAACAGCAATATAATTTATCTTTGTGAAGTGAGAAAAAATGCCTTGCTAACCATCTGTAGCTTTATACATCTCACTCATCATATTTCTGATGTACAAATACAAAGGAAGAAGATGGAAGCATACTAACCATGAGATAGGTTTTAGGAACAAGGCCTCTCTCCCCTTTGGAATTTTTAGCCATCCACCAACCATCAGGCTTTTTGTCAAGTATGAGCAACACTTCACCTTTCTTCAGTAATGGAGGGTGGGGGAAAAGAGAGAAGAAAAGAGACAAATGCATTGATATTCAGATGTTTAAAAATTACTCATGGAACAACTGTTGGTCACATTCTGTCTTAGAATAAAATGCAACTGCCTTTTAATTTGTTCTTAAATCTAATATTTATCTAGGACTGGTTTACCCTGATGATTTCAGATTCTGGTTTATCATGAATTCTTTGAAACAACTGCAGTTTTAGTGAACTAGTTTACTTTTCCCTGATATCCTATGGTGGTAAAAGCTCAACTTTATTTTTAGGTAAGAAAAAAAACTTAGAAGGCATTTCAGTAGAGTTACAGGCCAAGAATTCTCTAGAATATGCCTCCAAGGTTTCCTCTTGCTCAGCTGTTCTTGAAGGTAGATTTGGGGGAAATGTAAACAAAAGATACTTAACCTTACAGAGTCCGGCCACAAAGGCTCTTTTCTGAGCTCATCTTTCAAATATGCTCCTGAGTCAAGAGGAGTGGTTGCTAGATGGTTCCACACATTCAAAGGGCCAGAAACAAGAGACAGAGGTCCAAACACCCATATGCCACATGGTAGCTCATAACCCCACCATGCTAGTTCATGCTTTGGCATTCTCCAATTTGTTAAAGTGATTTTAAAAGCACGGACTGATTTCACTGTTAAGTGTGCATCTGTAAGGAGTTTTCTTGACTGCTTTGCTCCAAACAGTAGTCTGAAAAAGCTTCATCACAACATTTCCAACCAGATATTACTAACCATTTTTGAAGCACACACACACTGCTCTTTAACAAAGATAAGATACAGCCCAGCCCCAAACAGTTCACAATCTAAGATAGAACATATGACAGCACATCAGATAATGGAGGTTTTGGTCAGTCTTTGTTAAGACCAGTGTAGAAAGGATTCATGGGAAAATGGATATCAAAGGAGTATGGAGGAATGCTTAGTGGACAAAAATAAGAGGCTACCCAAGTTTAAGGGAACATGAAAGGCACAAGGGCAAGAGTGGGAAAAGGAAACAAAGGGAGCAACAAGGAAAGAGAATTAAGAGGGACATAGGAAGGGCTGAGGTTTATGTAGAGATCTGAAGATGTGCATAAGGAGTTTGAATTTGATGTGGAAAAAAAAATCAGCAAGTGCAGGGAACTGGGTGTGGTCAGAGCAGCTGGATAGGAGCATTACTCCAGAAGCACTATTTTGTATAGACAAAATAGTCTGACAAGATGGCATGCCTAGAACAGTGGTTCTCCAAATTCTGTACTGGTGACCCCTTTCACACAGCAAGCCTCTGAGTGCGATCCCCCTTATAAATTAAAAACACTTTTAAAACATTTAAAACCATTATAAATGCTAGAGGTGAAGCGGGGTTTGGAGGTGGAGGCTGACAGCTCGAGACCCCCCAACTAATAATCTTACGACCCCCTGAGCAGTCACGACCCCCAGTTTGAGAACCCCTGGTCTAGAAGAAGAGATGGGCAATTGGAAAGGAGGGACTGAAGAGAGCAGTGGATTTGCATTAATTTCTTTAATCGGAATTCTGAGGCGTCAATACACACACAGTCATTTATGATATTTGGAGGATGCAGTATGTGTTCAAACACATTTTATAATGTTTTCAAAGATATATGTACCTTAAACGTGAGATCCCCTTCCTGCTGAGCAACAAAATCACCAACTGTGATACATTCTTTAATTGTTGGTTGATCTTCCAATTCATCGTCATCATCCTCTTCTTCATCATTATCATCATCCTCCTCCTCCTCTTCAGCATCTTCCTCCCCACTACTTTCTTCATCCTCCTCCTCCTCTTCCTCATTTTCCTGTTCTGTTTGAGGACTATTTTGACATTTCCCGTCTCTGCACAAGACAAACGATACCCCACGTTTACCACAATTTCTTATTTTAATGGGTCATCTCCAGATTATTCTACAGCAGATAAATGAGAATTACTTTCCTTATCATTTAGCATCTCCGAAGTTACCTTGCAGCAGGGTTCTCATTCCTGGGTCTCAGCTTCCTAGCACAAGAGGCAGAAATTCCCAAACTCTAAAGGTGTGCAGTGGTCCCTATGGGCAGGGGTTGCAGTCCAGCAGATAAACGCCCTTTCCCAACCCCTGATGGTCACATTCTATTTTGGACCTAACCACAGCCCATGGAATCTTCTGATCAGATCCTTCTTGTCTGCAGTCAACAAAACTGCTCCCCACAGGAGCTGTGCATCTTCAGCCTGCACAGTGCCTGCCTACTTACAGTATTCTTTTATGTGCCTCTCCCTGCCTTTCAGTCAGGTCTGGCCCTTTTAACGTTTTGGTTTATTTTTCTGACCCCACATTCCTGATCCTCAATTTTCCCTAAGTGCAAAGAGGGCTCCAGCCTCCAGGAACCTCAGAGAAACCTCTTTCCCATGGCACTGCTCCCCAGTTTAGCAACTTGTGCTTTTCTTTGTTCTTGGTGCTAGAACACTTGGGGCAAAAAGAAGAAAGTTTTCTCTGAGGGAATAGGTGAGCAGTGGCCCATGCTTCAATGTCTGGAAGGGGCATACTGTAAAAAGACAAAAATGAAAAGGATATGAATGCTATTGTGACCACATTTCAGAACAGTTGATATGGAATTTTTTGGTATTTTATCATCACCTTCTGTCATATGAGAATGAGTCTGTTTCAGCTGTACAAATGAATACATTTTTATAAGAGTATGAAAACAAGCTCTATGGGTATAAAACGCAGCCACCTGTTCCCTGATATTTCTTAACAATAGGCTAATTAAAATGTATTTGCCTGTTTATACTACTTACACATTGTAACCCTTGCTCACATTGTCCTGACTCAGGACTGCAGCAAGTTTCTGTAGCTGCTGAGAGAGTGTTAACAATTGTTTTTCTTCCTCTTCTTTTCTCTGATTATAATTCCCCACAGGAGCAGGCTCATCAGCCTAAGAAAGAAGAATACACCAAACTGCTGAAGGAGTCAAATGATGCTAAACCCTCAATTAAAAAATTGTGGTTTCTAATCATTTATGCCAGAATGCACAAAAGGAGTTAGGCGCTAACTCCTTGTTTTGGCACCACTGTAATGCACAACCCCCCCGCACCACCACCACCAAATCCTGCAGGTGCCTAAATTCACTCAGCACCTAAGTTTTTGCAGTAAAAGTTCCCTAGGCCCCTAAGTTTCCACCTCTGGGCTTGCACAGTACTGCCTCCCTCTAAGCATCTGGGCACCTATCTTCTGCCTAAGCCCCAGAGCAATTCACAAACCAGGGGAAGATAAGTATTCAGCCACCTAAGTCACATGCAGGGCCTGATCCAGTAGGCGTGCTCAGAGGCCACCTACTGGATCAGGCCATTCCACTGAGTTCACATAAAACAGCCAGAGGTGGGCAGGGGAGGGGGGCGGAGAAGGAGGAATATTAGGATTGAATGCATTCAGGCCTTAGCGCTCTCAGCTAATTTTAACTTCTTGTTTGATCAATATGTTCTAGCTTCTTGCCTTGATATCATTTAAGTAACTAAGCATGGGGATGGCCATTTTCCCATTTCCTGTTTAGATAATATCAGCCCTGAAATCTATTACTATAAAGTTTCCTTAATATTTTTCTAGATCTTCCATCTAGCCAAGAGGGGGGTGAAAATCTATATTCTTATTCTTCAATTCCATGATATTTTCCTATTAAAAAACCCACTAGAATATTAAGTAATGTTAAGAAACACTTAAACCACAGAACTTTACATTATAAGGCATACAGAAAAATATATAATTATTTAATATTAGACTAATCCCAAAGGACCTCAGTCAAGATCAGGGCCCAGACAGACTAGCTGCTATACAAAAAGTCAGGGATGGTGCCTGTCCTGAAGAATTTACAATCTAAGAATATTATCGTTCTCTGAACATTCTGTACAATTTATTTTGGGAAAATAGGAAATGCTTTAACCTCAGAACTTACTTTTTTCAAGTTTTGAAGAACAGATGTATTTTCATCCACTGATTTCTTCAACTCCATACATCTATATTGGAAACAAATGACATAGGTTGTATGATCTCTTCTGATGTATGAAGAGCTAAAACTGTGTATAGTTTCTGAAACATGTAAGTTAGCCCCCTGATCCTGAAAACACTTATGTACATATGTAACTTTACAAACATGAGTAGTCCCACTTAAGTCAATGGGGCTATTTAGTGCACAAAGTTAAGCATGTAAGTGTTTGCAAGACCTTAGGCAAAGGGGTTTTTCACAGGTGCAAGGACCTGGATTAATCCAGGATCAGGACCTTAGATTTTAAGCTCCTTAGAACAGGAACTTTGCCTTCCTAAACTCTCTGGAAGCGTCTATGGTGCTATGTAAATAATAGCATAAGAAACAACGAGTATTTGCCTCGTGGTAGGCTAAAGCCAACATCATCTGACACACAAGCAGAAAGAGATTACAACTTTGTAAAAAACAAAACATTTTTTAAAAGGAGAGCAAGCCACAAGGCATCCATATGTCTTTTTTCACACAATGGAGCCACACACAGAGGTGCCTCAGAACTTTGGCTGGAATAATTTTCACAAGAAGAACGGCATTATGATGAGAGGGAGAAATGATGACTGGACTCAGCACATGGCATTGCAATACATGTGAAATTCATTTACTCAAGCTCTCTTTCCTATGAACAGAGCTACATCTCTCTGCTACAGTTTTGTGCTGCTTTTTCTCCGAGCAAAAGTGGTCAATCCACTGCACAGAAGATATACTATGCCTGCCAGGGCTAAGCACCACAAAGTTGAATAGAACACTATCAATTTCAAACTTGTTGTTTTCTCTTGCACGGTATAAACCTGTCAAAAAGACAACATTTTAGCACATCAGAATAAAAGTGCGTTTAAAGGGGTCTCATTGTATTATTAAAAATATTTTGATTCTGTCCTGAGAAAATGAACTCATTTAACAAATATTTTATCTCATATATTTTACCAAAGAGTGCACTGGAAGTGTAGATCCCAGTTCTGCACTGTGTAGCATACAGGCCTGCACCTGCATCGAACCCTGCTGACTCCCATGGAGCTCATGCAGGTGCAGCAATCTGCCTGTGCCCCACACAGCAAGACTGGAGCCTTGCTCTGTTAAATAATAAGAAATAACCTTATACTTGAGCTACAGCCTTCATAGCAGAAATTCTATCCAGCAAGTATCGCATTCCCTGAGCATAAAAAAATATTTTTAAAGTTAAGTAGCATAAGACCTTTTTGAGACCTGTTCATGTCTAAAAGGCTTGATTTTAAATCTTCACTGCATACGTGAATAGTTCTCAATGATGCTTTCTGGTGCGGAGAGTTGAACAGGTTTCTTTCAAAACTATGCAGTTTTGAAAGAAAAAAAATGGTTTTGTGGATGTATAGAAAAACTTTGTACTACGTTTTAAGCTATATAATTGGCAGAATTGTACTGATGCAGAATGTGATCTGCACAATACTGCAACTAGGGTGTTTATCAGCACACACAAGGTGAAAACGTCAAACACAGCTGTACTACACCATCGTGTCACAGGTGGATTCTCTTCCTTATTTATTTTTAACAGAAAATTAAATGTAAAAGGCTTCTAGTATAGTATTAGTTCACATACAAGAAGTAAAAATATTAAAAATCTAAGATTCATGGGGCAATCTTAACTCACTCATACACATACAGTATGCCATATTTAATTCCTTTATTATTTATGTAGTACCAGGGGTGTCCACTAATAGTGCACATAGTCAGGTACTAATTAGGCCACTGAATCCCTGATCCTGCACATACTTCTGCATGTGCTTAACTTTGCTGCTAAGAGCCGTCCTATTGATTTCAGTGGGACTACTCACTGTAGTAAAGTTAAGCACATGCGTAACAGTTTGCAGGATCGGGGCCTAAATGCGTATAATATTTTTGTTTATGCATATGTGGTGTGAGAGAGTTAACATCAACCTCTCATATTTTACCGTTTCCATTGCCTGACTTGGGAGTTCAAATTTGCCACTTCAGAATAGATTTTTATATTTAATGTTTTGATTAACTGAATATTCTAAAATAATTATATTAGGTTCATCAACTGAAGATTCCGATCCATGGATAACAAAGCAAAGGAAAGGAAGAACAGTATATGATCTTCATTTTACAGGTGGGGAAAAGAGGAACAGAGAGGTGAAACAGCGTGACCAATACTGCATAGGAGGTCAGTGGCAGAACTGGGACTAGAACCCATGTCTCCTGACTCCCAGCTCACTAGTCTACTCTGCCACCCAGTAATTCATTTACATGGGCATCCCTCCGCATCCCTGAAGATGAATTTATCAGCAAAATAGATTAGGAAAATTTCTATCAAAACCGGCTACAGCTATCTCTCAGTGGCAAATTGCTTAGCCATGAGATAGCTAATAGAGCAGAACACAAATGTTACCCCCACAGCCTAGATTTCAGATACAGCAGTGCGCTTTGCCTCTATGCAGCGTGCACTGTTAGGGTTAATTACCTCTGAAAAAGGTACTTCCTTTTCGCAGGGTCTAGGGCCCCCCCTCTCCTTGCTGTCAGAAAGCAGTGCCTCCACCTGCAGGGTAAGAGTCCAGCATTCAGACGTGCACAGCAGTGGGCAGACAGGCTCAGTGGCTCGGGTATCAAAGTTGTTCCCAACCCCCACCCACAACATCGGGGGCAGACTGGATCCCACCAACCCCACCAGGAGGGGGCACCACTCCCCTAACAGGATCCCCCCCCCGCCTCTCCAGCAGGGGGCACCGCCCCTCCTGCCCAGACTGGATCCCTCCCCCCGCCCAGACTAGATCCCCCCACCCGGCCAGCAGAGGGCGCCGCTCCCCCCCCCAGACTGGATCCCCCCACCCGCCCAGCAGAGGGGGCCGCTCCCCCCGCCCAGACTGGATCCCCCCACCCGGCCAGCAGAGGGCGCCGCTCCCCCCGCCCAGACTGGATCCCCCCACCCGCCCAGCAGGGGGGGCCGCTCCCCCCCCCAGACTGGATCCCCCCACACCCCACGGGCAGGGGCCGCCGCTCCCCGCGCTGTAGCTTCGGGGCGGGGGTGCGCGGGACGGGCGGTACCTGCAGCCGCAGCTCGCGGCCCCGCCGCTGAGCCCCCTGCAGCGGGCTGCGGCCCCTTCGCCCGGACATCGCGTCGCTAAGGAGACGAACGCTTTGGACGTCGTCATCGCCGCGCGTCCCGAACATCGGAGGGCGGGGGAGCCCGCTGCGGAGCCAGAGGCGAACTACGCGTCCCAGCATGCAACGGGGGCTGGCGCGCTTCTCGCGGCCCTGAATCACCGGCAAAGACTACGCATCCCAGCATGCAGTGGGGCCCGAAAGTCGCGCTCCCCTACCCCGGGCCTCGCGGTAGGAGCCCGGTGAGCAGTGCATGCTGGGGGTTGTAGTCTGCGCTGGCCTCCGTCTCCGTCTGGGCGCTGCGCGTCCAGGTTCGCTAGAGGCCTGGAGTTGTAACCAGTGGGTGCTGCTGATTGCACCTCCGAGGCGGCTGTGGATGCGCACACGCCAAATACTCCCCCTGATAACTGACGGGTCAAGGGCAGCAAAGAAAAAGGCTGCTTGAGCAGGTCTAAGGATTGTCGTCCCCCACAGCTATACATTTGACAACACGCCCAGAAATAAACATCTACATTATCCCCCCAAATTCTACAAAATAAATTCTGCCCAACTTGTTTTTGCTTTTTGTTATTGCCACAGCACTTACGAGCTCCACGCATGGACCAGGCTGGATGGACCCACCCTGCTACAAAACGAGTCTGCACAGCAGGGCTGTGTTGCAGGCAGAAATTCTACCCCTGCCCCTGCCCGAGTTCTTCTCTCTCACACCCACTGAGCCATGGAAGAAGCCATTTAATTTTCTTCATAGCCTTTTCACATTAATTTGACATATTCAGAAGATTTTTTTTTCTAGCAGGTGATCTAGGAGACTGCTTCCCTCTGCGCTCTGAACCAGTGGTTCTCAAACTTTTTTTTCACAGACCACCTGAAAGGGTCTTGGCGGACATAGGGTGACCAGATAGCAAGTGTGAAACAACGGGATGGGGTGGGGGGTAATAGAAGCCTATATAAGAAAAAGCCCCAAATATCAGGACTGTCCCTATAAAAATTGGGACATCTGGTCACCCTAGGCAGACAACTTAATAATCTTTCCAAATGTTGTTTGTACTGTTAGTGCTTTGGGTAAAAGCGCTATATAAAAAAAACCCTTAATAAACTTTTTTTGTTCTACAAATAAAAGCACACAACTCATATTTTAATATCAGTAGCCTTATTTCTAATACAATGGATGTGCCCTCTCTCTCCTGCCGCTGCAGCCACCGAGCTGGGGCTAGGAAGGGGGGGGGGTCTCTCCCCCGCCACAGCAGCCACAGAACTGAAGCTGGGAAGGAGGCAGCTGCAGCCCTGGAGCTGGGGAAAGTCGCCTCTTTCTCTGGCCGCCATAGCCCTGCACATCCCCCATTTCCCCCCCTCCCGCCTACCTTCTATTCCCCCCAAGGTCACCACTTCACCTTACATGTGCATCTTCTCCAGGGTCCAAGCACCTGATTAGCGGAGCTATGCTTGCACAGCTCCACTAATTAGGTGGGTGGCCCTTCATTCTCTTGTGTGCAGCCACCCAGCACGCAACTTAGAGGGAACTATCTGCGGATCACCTGAATGAAGCTCGCGGACGACAGTTTGAGAACCTCTGCTCTAAACAGCTCATGCACTTAAGTATTTGCTGTTTAATCGTTTTCCAAGTATTAGATAAGGAAATATAGCAGAGATGTACACAAATTAATAGTGTTGTCAAGTTACAACTTAAGTAAGTTACTTAAGTGGGAGGAGATCAAACTATGATGTGCACTTTCCACATGAGGGTTTACTGTTTTTATTTAATGATTTTTTAAAAACACTTTTAGGGTTATTCACAAGGCGAAAGAAAAAACTCCTTTGTAATCGTACTAAAATGAGTAGTTACACTGATATATGCAACACCGGATTTAGAAAAACTATGCTGATGTATCCAAAGAATTATTCAAGCCACTATACAGAAATCCCAAATTGTCATGTCTACCATCTCCCCTTTTTTCTTCCTTTTTACCTTTTCCAGAAATAAATACTACGTACACATTAAAAACATAACAAATAATCCACTGCAAAAAAAATTAAAGCACCCAAGATTTTTTAATAAATATAAGTACAACTGTATTTTAACAGGTCAGTGAGTGCAGACTTTGAGCTAGCACATGAACCATGTCTTCCAATTAATGACATTAAAATACCTGAGCTCAGCTCCATTTGGCACAGGATGCCCACAACTGTATGCCATATCACCACTAAATCAGCCTGATACAGCATTACACAGAAAACTTCTGTAACCAAGTTACATCTCAGCTATAAAGGACACAAGATTTCCAACTTGGGAAAGTCAACATTTCAAGATTCTGAATGGCACTGTAACACAGCAGCTGGGTTCTTTTGTTGACCCACCGTGTTAGAAGGCATTGGAACTCTGATGGGAGATATTAGTTAAAAACCTCTTCATTCATTGTGACAGGTGCACCTCATGAACTATTTCTGGGTACAAGTGAAGTGAGAGTGCCCCCTGATCAGAGGGGTCTCTGCCAGTGTTTCCCAAATGGTGGGTCTCAGGAAGATTCTAGATGGCTCACCGTGTCCAGGACCAGGTTTACACATCACTGGGCCTTGAACTAGGCAAACGTACACTTTACCAGCCAGGTGCAGAGAGGAGGGGATTGGAGAGCGAGGCTATCCCACACTCACCCCACAGTGTTGGCTTCTGTCCTGCGGGGCTGGTCCTGGGGATTGCAACCAGACACATGGGGTCGCAGAGCCACTCAGGTTTAGCCTGGCTGCCCTCCAAACCTGAGTGGTGCTGTGACACTGTGCACCAGGTTATAACACCTGGAGCAGAAAGCTAGGCCTAATGCAGCAGAACAAGAGGCAATTCAATGGGGTAAGCGCAGAGTGGGCCTGCTCTCCAACCCCCTTGCCCCCAACTTCCCCTCTGCACTGGGCCAGGATTCAGATTGCAGCACAAAGGCAGAGGGTGCATATATGTAAGAGTGGGTTGCAAAAAGAAGTTAAAATGCAGTTGATGGGTCACTTTAGTAAACTGTTTGGGAATCACTGGTCTAAGTCTCGCCAGTCCTAAGAGAAAAATCCTAAGAACAGCCAAGCTTGGAGAGAAGGCATGGGCAGAAGTCTGTTTTTTTTTCTTTTTGCATTAGCCTATTAATAAAGTCAAAGCTAAGGGCAGGGGATGAATTCTGAACCTACATAGCCTTTAACTATGCTGGCACAATGTGGGATTGGCATCTGCTTATAAACATAAAAGGAGAACAAGACAGAAACACTTTAAAAATGCACTGATTAGAAGATTTTTTTTGGAGGGGAAAGCTGTGCACGTATGAATGGAAGTAACAGAAAGATAGGGATAGCTGACATATGTAGCATGAGGCCCAGCCAAAATTAATCAAAAGAAGTCCCAAGGATTCTAATTCATGATGTCCAGCATTTTTGCTGGACGTGATGATGTGGAGTAGCAAGTATAAAGGGCTGATGTATTCTTAGTTAGAGAATTCTATGTCTAGATCTCTTACCAACTCCATGAATACTTTTGCTGAATTTCAGGCAAGAACCCCAGCATTACTGATTTAATACATGAATTTATCTTATCACTGTACACTAGTATGCTTTTGCCTTAATCTGTTTGACCGACTCTTTTGGGTTGTATACTTTCAAAGATCTAAAACATTTAACATCAGAATCTTTATGTGTTTTCACTCCCCACTTAACAGACACTTTATTACAAATTACTAGTAAGTAACTTAAATTATATCATTTTTAGTTTATTAAAATATAAGGGTCAAATGTAGCTCAGGACGAGCCTTAAGAGTCACAAAGCAAAACAGACACAAATAACCCTTAAAAACATAATGTGACAGGTTTGCACAGTCATAATGCATATGAATTAATTTAGCTCACCCCATAACATTTTGGTAGATAGGTTATTCTGATACATCTGAAGATAATTTTTGCTGATGTCAGTTTGGGCAAATGAGATTGTATGATACCACAGATGCCTTCTTTTTTAGAATACGGTTGCTTATCAAAGCATTTGTTTTTAAAGTCCATATTTTAAACTGTGTTTAGATACCAATGCAGCAGGAGTCCAATTATTTTCATTCAGTTGTCAGCTTTCATCTGTATAAGGCTGTTAAAAGAAAGTGAAATAAATTACAAATTGCACACAATTTCACGTTTGTTTTGTTTTTTTTTAATTTAAATTGCAAAGGCGCTCAAAACAATGTTCAGTCAAATTATAATGTATCAAAAAGAAAAGAAGAAAATCAGAAGTAAGAGAGATACCAGAAGGGGACGGACAGAACATTGAGTAACCAAAGGGAAAAGGACAGAAACAATATTTTATGTCAAAAATATTGAAGTAGAAACACTTAATTAAAAATGTACCCAAAATCATTGATGTTCCCTCAAAATTTCAATAACAAAAAAATTCCATTATTGGACATTTTTAGTGTGAACAAAAATGTTTCCAGATATGTACCAATACAAGCCCATTGTCCCTAACAGCTACTTCTCCTCAGTGTATGCTCACAACCAGAAATCAGCATTTATGCAAGAGCAAAGGTAAATCAATCGATTTACAGCACCATTACAATATTTCAGTTATTAAGAGACAAGTTTGTGAAAATTAAGTTTAGTATATGGTAGTTAAATAGTAAGTCTCAATGCTGTTAGCACTTTAACTGAGTATTTCCAGATTGTCATTTAGATTTATGGACTACAATACAGCAACCTGGACAGTTAGGAATTTAGAGTGGGCTCTAATAAACTATGTTGTAATAATCTAGAATATATGATCTATTTACATTTAATATCTGACTGAGAAAATTTCACTACATTTTGAAGCAGAGGACAGTCAAAGACAGACAAGACTAGGATATATACAGGAGTGCCAGCAGTGCATTCCCATGTCAGGCCACATGGAAACTTGAAAATGGGAGCTCTGTTGCATTTCAAACCCTTGCTGAGAGAAGCAGCTCTGATTTTTCAAATGGTCCCATGTCAGGAACATCTTTGTCCAAATACCAACCCTCCCCTTTCCACGCCCCTACCCCTGCCCCACACAAAAGTGTATCCCCTATCAGAGGTTCACACAGTTTCAAA